GCCGCCGCTACCATAGCCGCGCTCTCATGCTGCTTGTCTCTTTGCCGACCCCGCCTAATCGCACCACCCCTGCCTTGATTAAAGAAGAGAAAACCTCAACTTCAACGCGAACCTCGGTCTCGTTCGTTCGTTGGCCCGCTTGTTCATCGTTCCTTTTCTTTCGTACTTCCTATTTCCTATAAGGAATCTTTTTTTCATTGACTTTCTTTTCCTATTTTATATTCGTCTATCCATGTCCATGTTGCATTATATATATTGTAGTATCGTGGAAATTAGGATATAAATTTTTCCCCGATTACTTACAATCTATTAATAATGAATAGAATATACAGGTATTAATTGGATAGAAAACGATGTTTGTTTAACTGAAAATAAATGCGATACTCGTATCTATCTCAAATAACTTTACAGTTATTTGGCAACTCTCTTCACAACGAATCTAACACACTCTCTCTCTCTCTCTCACTAGCAACTCTAACAACTCTACAACACTGACAACTCCATCAATTCTCTCAACTCTACTCTTCGATGTCTCGATCAACTCTGACTCTCGCAACACACTCACTTTTCTACTTGCATACTCTGACCTCTCGGTCATCCCTTCTTGAAACACGAAACCGTCCTTCTGCTCTAACGTTGTTTGTTGTTTTTCTCATATCTCTGTAAGAATTAGGTGACTTTAGTCACATAGGCGTTCTCAAATGTAAACGAACCACAGCAGGACGACGTGCACAGGTTTTTCTATTATCAACCGATCTCTAATTCAAATTACTTTACGATATTACAATTTATATATATATATATAGTTTCTATTGTTCGTTGCTTGCAATTTAAATTCATTGTCATTGCCACGTGGACTTAATATACTAGTATATACTAGCATATTATACATATACTTATATACTAGTATAGTATAGTATACTTAACTTACAAATTATTATTCCCTTTACTCTTTACTCTTCTCTTTTACCCCCTTTCTTCTATTTAGGTTTTCCCTCTGTCTCCTCTTTTCCTCCACTTTCTTTTTCCCGTTTATTCCTCGCCTCTCCTTTCTTCCTCGTTTAGTTGCCTAGTTCCCTTACTAGCGGTTCAAGGTTAAAGAGACCGGTGAGGTGAATGTCGTTCTTGCGAGGAGCCCGTCGCGCTGCTCGATACGGGTCGACGCACCGTGCCGGTGAATCGTCGTCGTACGCCGAAACTGGATCGCGAATACTGATTTTAGACCGAGCCACCGCAAGCGGCAATCGCAAGATGAAACGTACCCACTGAAACGAGCCGTAAGGATGACGAGCTGTTACTCAGAATATGCGAACCCAGTATAGCCAATCTGTTTTTCCTTTTTTCCTTTTTTTCTTTTTCTTTCGTTCTTGTGCTCTTCTTTTTCTTCTTTCTTTATTCTTTTTCGAAGTACGATTCATCTAGATCGGCTACCTTTTGCTTCATTCCCGATCTAATCGACGAATCTGTCTACGTTTACTGTATTCGTCGCGCAAGCAAAATACACCCGAAACTTCTTTGAAATTGATCGCGACGATTTCGTCGTTCGGACTTTCATCTAATCGTCAGTCTAAGCGAATATTTAGTTGTATTCTCGGCGATCTTATAAAAAAGAATCTGCGATTTCAAAGACAAATCGAGTATATGGTAGTCGAATAAACCTGTTTACAATTGTATGCTATCTATGTTACAGTCACTGTTAAAAACAGCCGATCAGCTAAAGATCAAAGGACTGTGCGAGGTACCTGAAAGCAGAGACGGGCCACCATCGGTAAGTCTGAGTTCGCCGCCAAGAGAACCCGGTACTCCTAGAATAAATTTCACCAAGTTGAAGAGGCATCATCCAAGGTATAAGAGGCCCAGAACCACGTTCGAGCCTCGCGCTACGGATTCGAGGCATTACGATCGATACAAAGAAGAGGAATCGAACGAAAACTACGATTGGGAGAACAAAGAGGTAAGCGGCGATGTCGATGAACGCGCGAAGCTTTGGAAAAACCAAAGAACGTAAGAACGCGACAGCCGTCTTGAAAGCGACGAGGCGATCTCGTCACGGTCGTCGCTAAATTCGTACCGGATATTTCGCAGAATCACATAGACTGGCAACCCGAAGATGAGGAGTGCACGGAGGCAACCGCGGGAGCAGTAGTCTTGGAAACTTGCCAACGCAGCAGTAACAATAGTACCACTACTGGCACCACCAATAATAACAATAACAACAACAACAACAACAACAACAACAATAATAACAACGCTAGCAGCAACGGCAACGGTAACAATACGAGCAACAACAATAACAACGGTAAGTAGTCGATAATGAGATACGGGCCCCACACCTGGATCCTTTTGCTTCCACGTAAAAACGTAACATCGTTTACCACACATCTGTGTCAACAGTATAGTACATATGTATGTGCTTATTACTGTAGATTGTGTTAAGCTCTTTTTTCTTTCTCCTTCTTTGTTAATTTGCAACTAAATTATACGAAAGAATAGCGAAATATTCGTGGCGGATTTTAGGTGTGGGGCGACTTACAGATTTACGGCAACGCACTGGGCAGACCGTTTTCACTTGAAATAAAAAAGGTGACATGTTTTGTCATACAGGCCTCGGTCATTACGGTCATCATCCGGATCCCGGAGAGGTTGACCTACCTCCAGAAACTCAACCTACACCACCAAGTGCCACATTGGTCGGTACTACGATTACACATTTAAGGGACTCGGATCATCATTCCACAGGTGCGGTTGCTATTAATATTTATATCGACATTCTATCGACATTCACGGTCGCTCTATCAGTACCCCATGATCGTCCGTGTATCGATGTTGTATCGTTTTTTCCACTATGTCGAACTCGGCGTGAATCGTATATGGGGGGGAAATAAAACCGTAGTTGGTTATTAGACAGGGAGGGAATTAAAATAATCGGTCTAATCGAGCTTAACTAGTTGCGATTAGATTTACGTTGCTCGGTTCGCAACAGCCCACGCTACCTCGTTTAGTCCATGCGTTCAACTTTGCTTTCGGTGGCGCGCTCCTTTCTCCGGCACAAAGTTGCGATGCGCGACGTCGACGATACCGATATCGTCTACGGTCTAGATCATAGAATCCGGGTAAACGAAATTAGAAGAAACACAGCGATTCGTTATTCCGACACGATATTGCGGCTCGATGTCACGCAGACTCTTTCAACCGAAGGAGACATTCATTGCAACTGTATTGTTTTTCGCATCTGTTCGCAGAGATCCAAAATTGTGACAGTGTAAAGATCAAGTTTGAAACATTGCACACGATGGATTCGTCGGACACGATCGATATCGATAGCCACATGTCGGATCGAGCGAGCGTCAGTTCAAAGAACGCGGCCGATAGCGACAACATGATGATGATCACACCGGAGTTGCTTGGATTAATGCCTTCTGGAAGTTCGGTTCACTCGGATTCCGGTGAAAATAACTCAAGGGGTCACCCCGGACAATCCAGCTCTCACCATCATGGTTCGAAATCGTGGACGCAAGAGGATATGGATGCCGCTTTGGAAGCCTTACGAAATCACGATATGAGCCTTACGAAAGCCTCCGGTAATTCAAAAGCACGCACCACTTTTTTTCGCTCGGCTAGTACACGCGAGCCTACGGTTAGTCCGTTAACAAGCTTTCTCAGCGTTCTCTTATTTAATCCAGTGGTGTCGCGATCGTTTTAGCAACGTTCGGTATACCCTCGACGACTTTATGGCAAAGAGCACATCGACTGGGCATCGACACTCCAAAAAAAGACGGACCTACTAAGTCGTGGAGTGACGAGAGTTTAAACAGCGCGTTAGAAGCGTTACGGACTGGAACGATATCGGCGAACAAAGCTTCAAAGGCGTTTGGTATACCGTCGAGTACCTTGTACAAAATCGCGAGAAGAGAAGGTATCAGGCTGGCTGCGCCATTCAACGCGAGTCCCACGACGTGGTCGCCCGCCGATCTAGATCGCGCTCTCGAAGCGATACGTTCTGGTCAAACGTCAGTACAGAGAGCTTCCACGGAATTCGGTATACCGACGGGAACATTATATGGTCGATGCAAAAGAGAAGGCATTGAACTCAGTAGGAGTAATCCTACACCGTGGAGCGAGGATGCTATGACCGAAGCTCTAGAAGCTGTCAGGTAAATTACCGTTTTCTTCGTATCGTCCTTATAATACATATTATCCTTTCAAACGACACGTTTCATTCTACTACTTTTCCTTTTTCTCTTTTTCTATTTTATCGTGACGCCAACAACCTGTGACCGCCACTTCTCTAAGCATGTATCATCTATAAGATCGGTGGTTTCGTAAAAGACGCACGAGAAATTCAGTGGTTTCTTCCATTTATTCACGATTTTTCAGGTTAGGCCATATGAGCATCAACCAAGCGGCTATTCACTACAACTTGCCCTACTCTTCCTTATACGGTCGCTTCAAAAGAGGAAAATACGAAGAACCAGCGGTGGGTGAAATATCGCAAGACGGTAGCAGTCCTCACTTTCATCAAAGTCCGAGTCAAAATCATTCGTCCGCTGTACCCGATCAAATGCCGTACCAAGGCAGCTGAAACTTGCCTCTTTATTAGATTTGTTTCAGTTTATTTCAAATTTTTCAATTTCTTGCTGCGATTTTGCAATTTATACTCGACGTATCGTTCTTTGAACGAGAGCAAACGACAAACGATAACGAGAGTCACCGACCAAAAACGCGTTTTATTGTGTGAGAACGATTGACGAACGAATTTAAAGCCGGGAGCAGAAATTTGTGACATCACGACAACAGTACAACAGTACGGTGACAACCGAAGGGTCGAAATGTGACTAAAATATTAGATACGAGACATGATCATCTCTCGAGAAAGAATGGCCGTGAAGGGTTTGCAGTATTACAGATGGATTGTCGTAAGCAAATATTATGTATATTGTATGACTGTTATGTCGAATCGGAAACGTAGATTAATTATAATTTATAAGAATTATTTATAAAAAAGAAAAAGTGCTGTACAGTCGGGATAATACCGATGAACCTACCGTAGTGTGTAAGTTGCCGATGCGATGGGCCAATAGAAGACATTCAAGAGAAGATACAAAACATTCTAAGAACTAATGTCTTTTATGTTAGCAATTTTGATGAAAAATTCTCTGTTAGCTCGATCTTCATTTTCTTTTCTTTATTGGTCGGCTACATTATTTTTATAACTTTGTTAAATAAACTTTTTACAAAATTATTCACTACTTACTACGCGATCAAACACTATATATAAAAGCAATAAAAAGATTTTGTTGAAAAACTAAAATAGATTCAAAGTAAAATATAAACAGGTGCGTCGTTGCATTTCAAATCGTTCTAAGATTCAATTATTTTCTTACGTCTCACCAACAATTTGTTCGCTGAGACGATGAAATATTGTATACGTGTTTCTAATGGTTTTCTTCGCATTTATATTTACATTGCAAAGTTTCAAATTTCAACTCTACGTATACAACTCTATTTACATCAGGAGGAAGTAAAAATATTTTCGATATCTTTTCAAAGATACGGAATCAACAGAACTGAAGAAAAAATTGCGTGGAAATTTCAGCAGATCGATTTCTGAGAACAAAGATACTTTTTACGTTCGAATAAACTGCCACATGCAAGGAATATATTACATCCATTACTCATGCTCACGACTATTATATGAAAACATATATTACTTATAAATATAAATAAATAAATATATATATATATATATGTACAGTTTATATATTTTAAATTAAAAAGTAATGCGACAAAATAAATGTTGTATTTAATGCCCATTATATTGCTCTTTTATTTTAATGATCACCGATCAATAGTGTGATTCAATTATCGATAAATATTATCAATAATAATAGTTTGAAGTCTCAGTTATCTATATATTTATTTCATATTTTGCTTGACATATAAACAATAACATTGAGGTTCATTAGCAATGTATAATACATATTATTTTCTATCTTTTTTCTAATTTGACAGGTTTATTCATAATCCTTTAATTCATTTAACATGATATATTTATAAAAGCTTTTAAAATATATTTAAATACGATAGAACTTAAAAGATGTACTGATATGCTATATCTATTTCTATTTATGTTCCTAACAGCATACAACACATCGGAACAAGTACATACATATCTATGTAAATAAGTACGGGACGATACTCCCGTTAGTTACGTCGAAGCCAAAAAATTACCGATAACACCAAGTCTTTACTTATTTTCTATCATCGGAAATTGCTATTTTTTCTGTATCAGAGTTGAAACAGAAGCGTGTGTTGTATGTTATATGCAATATGAAAACAAGAATGTGTCATGTATATAGCATGTATATAGCGAGAGACTCATGCTATACATATGTCATGTATAAGCGCATACATCAAGTAGTCAAGTAACGTCGCTTCTTTTAATTTGCCAAAGAAACAATTTTTTCCTGGGGAAACTATTTAACGTGATTATATCTTTGTCGGCATGGAAACTGATATAAATAATTGTATCTTTTGCGATATCATAAATAACAGAACATCAAGCGAGAAGATATACGAGGTATGAAAAAGTTAACCTTTGTTGTTTAACATGATATAACGTAGCATAACTAAACGTGCAAGTGAGCCTAATATCGGTATATATAATTTTATTCCTGATATATAACGACGTCTACATTTAGAAAAAAATATTTTTACATTATCTTATAGTTGTTAAATTTGGAACGTTAAATATCATTTTAGGATGATTATGTGACGTGTATTAAAGATATTAATCCAGCTTCGACCCATCATTATTTAATACTGCCAAATAAACATATACGCAATGCAAAAGAACTTCAACCAGAAGATGCTTCGCTTTGTAAGTCTGACCAAATAGAAATACTTGTGTTAAATGTTAAATTTAAGCTTTGCATATTAGAGTTGCTTATACAATGACAATTTTTAGATGACAGAATCCTTTCTACAGTGGATATAATAGCAGAAAAACAAGGTTTGGACCTTGCAGTTACACGTACTGGTTTTCATTGGCCACCATTTAATACAATACATCATTTGCATTTACACGTTATTTCCCCTATATGTAATATGGGCTTATTTAAAAAATTTATGTTCAAACCCAACTCGTATTGGTTTGTAAGCGTACGTATAATACATATTCTGAAATTTCATTCCATGTATCTCGTTGGTTCTAGCTGATTTAATAGTAATTGTTATTATGTTTTATAGACGGAATATGTGAAGTCTTACTTTAAGGACAAAAATAATCCTAGTACATCAAGCTAAAATAAGCATAAAGGCAAGATCAATAGCTGTGATATTTTTTTTTGGAGTTTTATATGATTATGACATTCTAACAACTAAATTCACTACAGACATTACCTTATGTGTTGTACATTGTAAGTGTATAAACATGGTTTATATATGTAAATTATTTCCATTGTTGTTAAATGTAAGGAAAAATAACTAAAGGAAATTTAAATGGGTTTAAGGTGTGGATTTTTGATAATGATAAAAAAGATCATCCTAAACTCGTTCTTAAAATTATCATGATCATTAAATAAAAAATAAAACCTTGAAATAATATTGAATCAAAACAATGTAAGAATAATAAATCAGTTTATTTTATTAAGTATTTAAAGTGCTGATGCCCATTTCAATTCATTTATATTAAAATATAGCTTACTATACACATTTAAGTTGACATCAATTTTTGTATTTATTCTAATTCAATGATTTGTAGAAAAGCCCCTGTTCGTACATGTCCTTCCATTTTGCCCCATTTGGATATGAATAGTTCTTAATACATTCTTCATTAAGTTTGGTTGAATAGCCTGGACTCATGGGTGGCATATACGAAGCATTTTGAACACATACAGGATGTTCAAAGTGCTCGTGTTGTTGATCGACGTATTCTATCACACGGTTTTCGGTAGATGCACTCAAGCATATAAAATCCCACATCTGGAGATGCTGAACCATTTCGCATAAACCTACACCTCCAGCATGTGGACACACTGGAACTAACATAATAAAAATTATGATAAAATGGTCAACCTAGTATCTTCAGAAAGTAGTTATTATTTATGCAACCTACCACCCATCTTTTTTGCCATCAAATAAACAGCTAATATTTCATTGATTCCTCCTATTCTAGCCGAATCAATTTGACAATAATCGATCGCTCTCGCTTGTAATAATTGCTTAAACATCACGCGATTAGCGCACATTTCACCGGTGGCGACACCGATGCCATACGGTCTTAATTCGTTTGCGATTTTCGCATGCCCTAATATATCATCAGGAGACGTTGGTTCTTCAATCCAAATTGGTTTGAATTTTACCAATTGTTTCATCCACTCGATCGACTCGTTGATATCCCATATTTGATTAGCATCTAGCATCAATTTATTTTCGTGTCCTATCGCGTCGCGTACCAATCGGCATCTTCTTACGTCGTCTGTTATATTTTGACCAACTTTTACCTTGAAAGATGTAAAGCCAAGAGCTAAAAATTTATTACAAAGCTCTTTAACTTTAGCATCGTTATATCCAAGCCATCCCACTTGCGTTGTGTACGCCGGGTATCCATTTTTTCGTAGCATTTCTTCGCGTTCTTCTTTTCCTTTTTGATTCTCTTTCAGTAATTTCACTGCTTCTTCTTTCGTAATAACATCGGTACTATAGAAGAGAATGTCATAAAAATTCGTTTCAGTTTTCAATAACAATATAATGATTTCTTCGTTTCAAAGCTGTTCTCATTTCGTAAAATGCACATGTATGCAACTTACATGTATCTGAAATCAATCGTAGAGACTAATTGTTCAGGGGACAAATCCGTAAGTAATTTCCAAACAGGTTTATTTTCTATTCTAGCCCACAGATCCCACAATGCATTTATTATAGCAGCCGTAGCGAGGTGAATAACGCCTTTTTCTGGTCCGATCTATTACATTTCATACATTTATATTAAACACATTGAATTTCCTAGCGTGCCTCTATATTTCCCACATGTAATAGTAACTCTCTTATGTGATCACGTATTTGTAATACGTTACCCATCTTAATTGCGATTCGCTCGTTAGTTTTCTCCAAAAAGATCCAAAGTGTGTAAAAATTTCATTGACATTTTGTCCTTTCACTAAATACGACATTGATTTGCAAGCTTGTACGACTATGAACATTTCAAAGAAAAGTTTGATAATATCATTTTACTCCATAAACAATAATTAGTCGTTTTAGAAGATAAATAAATATCTGTACCAATTTCTGTGCCTCTACCCAAAGTAAATGTTAATCCATATCCTTCGATTCCTTTGTTAGTCTTGATCACAACGTACGCGCAAGAATAATCAGGATCAGTGTGCTGTAATTGAATATTATATTACAACCAGGGCTTACAAATTAAATTTTAATATGAAATGCGAAATACGCGCAACATTCCATCGAAAGGTAGATTAAAGCATATACCACGTACCATAGCATCACTTCCGTCAGCTAATAACGATGTTGGGAACCTTACATCTTTCACTTCCACTTCTGTTATCACAATCTCCATCGCTTATGTGAAGATCGTCTGAATTTTCAATTTTTTTTAACAATGGGTTAGGTTGTTTCTAATGAAATAGTTTTATGCAACGTTTCCCTGAATATCAGTAGGACAATATGGATTCCGTCAGATATTACATCTCTTTTATCATATGCATTACGTAAACATAATCGCTGATAAATTCGATACGTACAAAAGAAAAAAAGAAGTGGAATTATAAATAAGAAATTTTGAAATTATGAATATTATTAAAACACGATGTACAGAAAAATGATTGCTCTTTGCAGGTATCACAGAATGTTATGATATAATATATATAATGTTAAAATAAATATTCTGCAGTCGGTACTATCGTGCAGTTACTCGTTACAAATAAAACTTCTAACTTTTCAACGCGTGTTGTCTAATTTCCACCATCCGGAATCCAACACAACGTGTGTGTCCTTTTGTGTTCCTTATTGAATATATCTCTACAAAAAGACATTATAACATTAGTCGTATTTTCTTTTTCTAATCGTTTCCCTGCATATACGCGAAAAGCATACATGTACCCAGATCCACAGCACGACTTAATTAATTAATTTATTTATTAATTGAATACCATATTTGTGGCACCTTTGTTTTAAATATTGCCCAAATATTATGTGATCACGAAATGGTATCAAAGATTCATCGAAATTTATTTCCATGTTATATATTTGTTGTTATATTTTACATAAACGATTGAAAACATCTGTCTCTCTATTGTCTTATCGCAACCTTACACAGATCTCCGGCCGCCAGCATATTGGTGAAATCGGACATCGCGCGTTAAATAAAAAGGAAGGCAAAACAGGCTTGGCGCTTAACGTATTCGTTGCCTCGTCTACGCTGCTCTACAGTTAAATTTGCCGCGCTAGAGTTTACCTTATTATCATACAAGATATTCACGCTGGAGGGAGCCACAGGCCTACACCAATTCATAATACCTGTAATTTTATAGGATCTTGTATATGCTAGCGCGTACTATCTTCAGCATTTAGCAGCATGGTGCAGTACTAATCCGGGAACAACCAGATTATAATGTGAGTTATACTCTCATTTCCTCTTTCATATTACCTACAACTGCAATTACAACTACAATTTTGTTATCATCAGCAACAGAAATTGAATTTCAACATGCCGGATCTATTCGAAATAATCGCAGGGACATACGAACAGTATTTACTCGGTTATAAAATAAGTAATACTGATAACGTAAGTAAACAAGTTCCTTTCCGTTGTTATATTTTAGGTTATGTTCGGTGCATGGAACTTACTTCAGTTGAATATAATTTCATATTTTACTGATAAATTTGATGAACTTTCAGGAATACAACATGGTAAAAAGTTTCGCAACACATAGCCATGTCAGTAGCATACGTAGCGTTGCGAGTAACAAAAATATTTTAGCATCTGGTGGAGCTGATGATTCTGTTTATTTATACGATTTACATAACAGAGTAGAATTTGGTAGATTAATGCACCATAATGGTAGGTGTGATCATATACGATCGTTATTCGCATGTCATGTTAAAATGGGGGATGAAATCATCTATTTCGATAAGTTTTATATATTTTTATGTGTTTATGCAGATACCGTCAATTGCATTGCGTTTACCCCTGATGGATCTCATCTGTTTTCGTGCAGTAGCGATGGAACTATAGCTGCAATTCGATGTGGAAATTGGCAAACAGAAAAACATTGGCAAAAATCGCATAAAGGTTCAGCTGTTAATACTTTGGCTATTCACCCAACAGGAAAAATAGCACTGTCTACTGGAGCAGATGGAATTCTGCGAACTTGGAATCTAATTAAAGGAAGGCAAGCATATGCCACAAATCTAGTCCCAAGATTGAGATCAGATGGTAGAAATGTAAACATTCTTAAATGGAGTCCTAATGGCGAAAAGTATTTATTAGCTGTAAATCAGAGAATAGATGTATATTCTGTAAAATCAGCGGGGATCGATAATGAAATAAAATTCGACTCAAAAATTATTTGCGTAGAATTTTTGAATGATGATTTAATTGCCGCTGGTTTAGAAAATGGTCAAATCAAGTTTTATGATCTTGAAAAATCTGTGGAAATTGTAGAAGCAGTTGCACATGATAAACGAGTGAAATGTATGGCTTTTAAAGATAATTTATTAGTTACAGCTTCGAGTAATGGGGAAATTAAACTATGGAGGTATCGCAGACGTAGATTGGATATGTTACAAAAAGTTAATTGCGATGTTAGAATTACCTGTTTATCTCTTGCAATGTTGTGTTAGAATTAGTTTTTAGCACTAAACCTACCGACACTTTGTGTATGGCTATTCCTACCGTGTCCGGTCAAAGTGTTTATGAAAAGTCAGAAATTATGAAGCGATATGATAGCGTTTAAAGACACTTAAATTTGTGTAGATGTTTGAAAACGGTCAATTTGACCAGCAGCGGTAGGTTTAGTGTTAAGCTAAATATACTATAAGAAGCGATATTTTCTATTAGAGAACAACATCCACTTTTATGGACGTTATACACGAAATTTCAATATAATGTTTCTGAATTAATTTCACTGATGTTCTGTTTTGACATTGTCGTTTGTCAATTTTTTCGTCCTGGGAATAAGTTCAAGTACACGATTTTCTGTTTATGTAATTTTACTATGAATATTATACAATGTTCTTTTTAAAGAATAACATAATCTCGTATGTTCAGTAATGTTCGGATACGTGCGTGCTGTGTAATTATAAATAATTACCAAAGAATACATTTGCGAGACGGATTCATGGGACTTTCAATCGGACAATTCCATGCTTTCGCAAAATCCGCGTTATTCGATAAAGTTCCGATGACTCTGAAATGATTTGGTGCATGAACTCCTTGTATCAATTTAGATTTTAGCGCTCCATTCGTATAACTACCGCACCAGACCTACGAAAATTTATGGAAGTGTATATATTCATATCGGCAGCGTATACATATATTGTAAATATGTACATGTTTCTCATGAATTCATTTATTTTACATGTTCAACGATATCTTCGGTTTAGGAATTATCACGATTTTTCAATAAAAGTTGTATCATTTCTTATCAATGGCGATTACTTACTTGTGCGAAACCTATAAAAAATAATTGTTCTTGGCTATAATTAGCGAGGCCAGGTAGAGCTAGTCGATTAGTATTTCTTGTTCGAAATCGTTGATACGCTTTGTAGGCCTCTCGTATACCACCGTTATCAGCTATATTCTCTCCCTGTGTATTCACGCCATTTACCTAGACAGAGTATCGTACGCTTTGTTGAATTACAGATCAAAGACTTACACACGCCATCTTCACCTTGGCTTAATTTGCATTAGGGTTAAAAGGACGGTAATACTCACCGTGAAGTTATTATTATTGCCTAGCTCTGGCAGATGGTAGTTACCGTACTGTTTGATTATACACTCAACTTTCTCATGATAACGTTGCAACGTTTCGTTGCTCCACCACTGTTGAAGATTCCCGTTTTCGTCATATCTACGACCTTGCATATAAACAGATCGGCTCGTAGAAATTGTATTTGATCTATACGAAGTTTACTTAATTTTCTGCAATTTATTACGATACATATTGATACAGTGCATCGACATCGATATACTACCTTGATCATCGAATCCATGAGTTAGTTCATGACCCATGATTGCGCCCATGGCACCGTAATTGATAGACCTGCGGAATATGTTTGGTATTTCAATTTCGTATTCAAAATTTGTTTAATTCATTCGTTGATTATCAATGATCTATACGTACTGTAAACCATTGCCGTAAAACGGAGGATGCAAAATACCAGCTGGAAATGCTATGTGTGAGAAAAGTGAGGCATTAGATCGCAACAGGAACACGAAATGATAAAATAATATTTATAAAATATGATATCCATATAATATTCAAATACTTACTGACTGAGTTTAATATCGCGCTATAAAACGCATTTACCGTTGTTCCAGTCGATATCCATCGATTTTTATCCGGTTTCTCACGCAAACTATTTAAATTTTTCTTGACTGTTGCGTCAGTTAGCATCAAAAATGTATCGAACAATCGCCCAGGCACAACATTTTTCTGCAACAAAATTTCATCTTGGATTTCCAGATTTCGCACTGACCGAGATACAAGCTAAGGCACCTCACCCCCTCGTAAAATTTATCCAATTTTGTTGAATTAGTAATCCAGTCTGGAATTCCTACGAACGGTCTTATCGCGTGCAGCTTTCTATGAGCCCGAGCTCTTGTCTCAGCATCCATCCAATCTAGTTCGGCAACCATTTGTTCAAATGCTGCCTTAATGTCGAGCAACATTTCTAGAGCCTGAAAACCGTCTATTTGTTTCTCTCTACATACTTATCGTAATTGTACATATAGCGATCGCTAAATAAAAGAAGATCATGTCGTACGAACCTTTTGTCGAGCATTATCGTCAAAGTGTTTTCGTGCGTAAATATAACTGAGAGCCATACCAAAATTTACGTTTACATTTCCAGTACAAATTTTCCATCTCGATGTCTCTTCTTTCAAACCGAAAACTTTCTGCGAGAATTTGAAACCAAGATCACGAAATCGCTGTGACGTTAATGGAGCAATAGCCGAATAGACGTTCCACCATACGAATCGCGCTAAAACATTTCAACAGTTGATTATCGATAACGCTTGATACGATCCAAATGATAAGTGGCGACGTGTAAAGTTTCGCAGTAAAATGGTTGATATATGTATGTATATAGTATATATGTATGTACTTACCTATCGTGGCGGATGGAGTAGTCGCTAACAGTTTAGGTAGTTTCTGTAAATACTGCAGATCCATTACGATCACACGCTCCGATTCAGTATTTATTGTCACGTTTGTATCGTCGAACACCGCTTCCAAATATCTGGTCCAGTTCCACTGAAACGGGTTGATTAAAAGTCTCTCTCTTTCTCTCTCTCTCTTTCTCTTTAATATCGTTCATAAGCTTTTCCAGCTTCAATTCAGTCACCTGTTGTACGTGCAAATCTGTCATCTGTTGAAATTCATTGATAGTTACATCGTAAATAAGATGATTTACGTTGCGTCTTTGTTCTGCAGTCGCCATGATCTGAACAAATGTAAAACAATTGGTGGATTTACTCGCTCGGAATATGCGCTCGATGGAATATAATTTTAATAACGCGATAAGCCTCGGTGAATACTAACGCGCGCGATATTCGTGCTAAAGTTTAAGATTTCGTTGGCAAATTCGCTGCTTCTATTCCCTGCGCCAGCCAGTTCGATCATGCTTTCTATATACTTCTTATATTCCATTAGTTCCGATTGAAATCGCGAAGAATCGAGCAAATAACGCTCGCTAAATCCTGGTGACGTTTGTTCTATCTAAAACTGTCCGAATTAGTTGACGAAGCCGAAATTGAAATCGTCGTATGGTTGTAGAATTTAGTGAAACGAATTGCTCTACCTGTTACACTTACCATCATCATATTTTTCGTCGTGTCTCGTATATCCTCGCTAATATAAAAATTTAGAAATATATTCAAACCTAGAACTCTCTGTATCCTCCCGACAATACCGGAAAGATCAAAAGGTAAAGTTTCGTTTTGTAAAGGTGGATCTTTTGGTAATCCGAGCTTGTTGAACGTTTCATAGACGGGTTTCAACCCCAGAGCTTCGACGCTCGCTAAAACGACGATAACTCGTATTATTTTACGCGTGTCTGACAATTCCAGTTCCGTGCGTTCCCTCGTTTTACGTTTATCGATGTTCCTTCTGTTAGTTATTTCGAATTAGGTTAAATCGGTTATTCTTACTTAAATTCATACAAGTCCTGTACAGAGTTCTAGCCAACTTGACCGATCTCAAATCGTTTCCATCGTCCGATTCTTCGAGCAATATCCTTAGATCCTTCAGCAGTCGTTCCTTCAGAAGACTCAATTGATCCCAGGATGTTTGACTCTGCGGTATAGGATTCTTCGAAATCCAACCGCCGCAGGCGAATTTGTAGAAATCTCGACAAGGATCTACAGATCTGTTCATCGCCTCTATTATCCTGGCGGCTGGAACGTCCAACAACTTTTGTTTCGCGTCAATGTAGTAGTTGCTCAACGCGAATAAACGTAGGATCGACGCAAGCATAAATTGTTATTTTTCTTATATAAGGATAATTGAAATTGAAATGGGATATTTCTGTGTTTCGATTACATCGCCAGGCTAACTCGGGTGGGGATAGGGAAAAGTATAGAAAAGGAACAGAGGAAACCTTGATTTTACGGTACCTGTCCTCACGCATTCCTCGCTCTGGCACATCTCATCGTAGACTTCCTTGCGGAAAATAACCGTCTGCAAGGCCAGCGTTAGTAGCAACGCAACCACGATTACCGTTAATATACCAACGATTATGATCAATTTCCATCTATTTTTGTCCAATTCCTTTTCGTTCCTCGGCCGATATTGCCTGTTCGAATCAAAATTAGGTAAAACGTCGACAACATGTGATTCCACATTCTTGATTTCATCGAAATATCGAATAAACGTATTTTCTAATTCGATCGAAACAAAAAACGCGTATCTTAAGATTTCAAATTTGATCTTCCGTAGTTAATTGTAATTTGCTAATTACCACGAGAATATCGATTTTTGTTTCATCTCAATCGCGCCATTCCTTTCGTCGTTTGCGTCCGGATCGTTTACCTATAAAAACGAAAATAATAATAGTGGCGAGGATCGATGCTCTTTTACCTCGCTCCAGAATCACTGAAATTACTTTGACATTATTTTTGCCGTTTTTACTCTACATTCGTGACAGAGATCCGACAACGATAGTTCTTCTTCCATTCGTAGAGTGGTTAAGGACACGGAACAGTTACGCGTAGATGGTATCGTGGCCGATACCTTTTTAATGTTTAAAAGTTAAGCAGTTGTTTATTCTACTCTTGCGAGATCCAATCGGCGCAGCGAATGAATTTTAATTGGTTTTCGTCGACGATGCATTGGCAGCGTAAATAAACTCGAACAGGTCGTGCAATCCGTCTAATCCGATCGGCTGTGTCACGTACTACAAGAACAAATCTAAGCCGCTGTAGAGGCATGCTCTCTCTTCTTGTGTTCCGATTCGTTGCACGCAACTGAATTGTCGAAAACGACGATTGTCAAATTGAATGCTCTATTTGGAAAACGAAAGCTATGAAAGAAGAAATTGAAAAGAAAGAATAGTATTACCACGTGTGATCAGATTGGTATGAAACAAACGGATGACGCGATTGCCAAGAAGAAGTTAATAAATTCGATTCAATTGAAACGCTATTAACGTTTGAAAAATTACTAATTGATGAGAAAGATGTACATACAAGCGTACGATGTTGGAGAAACTAATGAAAAAAAGACGCAATACAAAGTAGCATAGCAGATAATTAAACAGCAAACAGATAGTTGTATTCTCAGTCGACTTATGTGTACTACGGATAGAATGAATGTCTAGATGTACACTACAAGATAGCAGAAACACATGTAAAGTAGTTGGTTTAATGCAACTATGACCTTCCAGAGAAAATCTAATCGCTTGGATGTGCAATTACGTAGATGAAAATTCGATCGCGACTTTAATCTTATAAGGGGACCTTGCGCGTTTATTCGAATTTCACGTTTGATTTCTCATTCTTGCGCTGATCCGAGGATTTTTTCGTTTGTGCTACTTAAAAGAGACGGTACGAGTGTCGAGTAACGATGCGAACATAATCGCCGTATCGTGATATTTCCTTCTAAATAAATGGACGCATCGCGACGCTTGTCTCGATCAAGCGTTCTACTTAGATTTCCTTATTCGCTTATCGAATTATTTATGCAACTAACGACGTAATTAAGGAAAAAGCATGCGTCGCGATAAGACGCTTTTCCAGTTTTTCAGTATTCGGCTATTCGGTCGAAGACGAACGATGATGTCGCTTGCAATTATAATGTATAGTAAATACATGTACGATAATATATAAACGTTGGAAGATACACAGATGTTTCTTCTCAAATTTCTCAATAACACGAGAGAACGTAACTGTTACGATGCTAATGACGAAGAATCCCAAGTTTGCTGAAATTTGTTGCCTTACCTTGTATTTCATCGTTCGTCCGTCTATTTCTTCCTTTGCCGATCGGATTTATCTGAAACGAAGAACGATCGAATAATAGGATCGTCTGGTGATAAACCTACCATATATATATATTACACAGTGTTACGGGTACCCATCCGGGGTTATCGAGATTGATCGTGCATCACGATATAATCGTATCCGATACATTTTTCCACGTTTTGTCGTTTGTCTGGAAATATTACACCGAATATTACACACCAAACATGTACTTGGACTCGAACGTTCATTTGTGAAAAAGTGGCGATCGTGTTGAAAATCGTAGAAAAAGAGGAAACTAGAGAAGAGGACGAATGGGGAGAGATTTATGCGCGTTTCGCAATATGACAAGTGTATATATTGCTCTCCCTGATTAGAAATAAGCCATGGCTATTTTTACGGAAACCTTCGCTTTCATCTGTGGTATACACAGTTCATCGAACTTGAAAATTGAAGTTGAGTGCGTAAGTCGTATGAAGACCGAATAGGTGTTTACAAAAAAAAAAAAACATTTTACGATCACAATCATATTCATGATCTATGATCTCGAATTCATTGCGAAGGCTATTTCTTGTCTGGTTTCTTCGAACTTGTGTTCGTCGATCGAACTATGTACTTAATGTGCTTCTAAAACAGCGTACGATCGCAAAAGACTCACCTCGATTTTGTTTCTTTTCCCGTTTCCGTTTTGCATACGAATATCAAGCCTTAATACGTTCTCTATGTTTCCTTGTTGCGGATATCTTCGTTAATTCATAAGCGATCACACGAGATTGAAATCGAAGGAGAAAATAAAAATAGTGAAAACTGTTGGAGAGCGAGTGACCAAAGAAACGCATACACAATAAACCAATTTCCTATGGTATATGAAATTCAGTCAATTGAAAAATTCGCCCAACAGCCATTGGTCCTCGTTCTTCTTTCTTTTTCTTACGTTTGATTGTGTTTCGATCCCGGTTTCGACGCTTCGACGATTGCGAATTTTATTCAATATTCGGACATTCCAAAATTCGAAGCTCGGAGAAGAATGCTGCTCGAAACCGCTATTAAACTAAACTGAGCTTTCGGCGTGCGAACCAGCGAGTATACTCTTCGACTCCCCTACCACTTCCGCGCGACGAAACCATGTTGTCTAGGAATGGATTTTTTCCACTTTGAATCTAGCCGTGATCGATCATTCGAACGCAGACTTCCACAGTGGGCTAAATGCATCAAAAAATCGACAAGAGATCGATTTCAAAAACTCTGCATGAGATGTGTAATTTCTGCTACGATATATTCGTGTATTCATGAAACGTTGTGCTCTGTACAAGAGTTGAGAATCGCAGTGGCTCGTGTTTTTACTTAACTATTTCTTGAGACATATTTTACTTATAAATTATTTCGATTCAGTGTCATTTGCGTGGAAAAATCATTTTTTTCTGACTTTTTAAACAAATACTAAGCTTGATTCTGCCGAACTCTAGCAGCTGGAGTATTACGTGAACGCGTACATTTCTGTAGTTGTGGGATCAATGCGTAACAGCGTATTGATTTCGCGCTTCTATATGACCTCGAGTGTTTTGAAAAACCAAGAAAACTCGCTTGCTGTCAATAGTCGACAATTGATAGTTGATAGTCTGCGATCGATAGTTAGTAATTGATATCCGTCGTAAAACTACAGCACGAATACTTTGTTCCTATCAATCGTGTTACCACCTTGTCATTTTTCGTCTCTTTTGCTACTATCTCCTTCATTCTCGCCTCCTCTTCTTTTGGTTGTTTTCTCTCTCTCTCTCCCTCGTTCGCAACAAGGTTTCGATCCAATTACGATTTATCTCGATCTTTTCGATTTACCCGACAAACACGTCACGTGTAATCAATCATTGTTGGTTGTTTTTCATTTTTGCCTCTTCTCTATCTTCTTCTCCTACGTTCGAAGGAAACAATTCCTACTTTCAATCTCAAAAGTAAATAATACACCGCTTTAATGTGTACCGACAGCCGTCCATGTGTAGCCACATGGCATGTTAAATTCGCAGAAAGACTGATTAATTATAACTACGTCGACTGGACGGAAGATCTATCGGAGCGTCGCGCCTATCGCTACAACTCAATTGCGAACTTTGTAATTGTGCGTTGTAATTATCATATTACGTCGAGGAAATCTTGACGCTATTCGTACGAAAAATATGTATACTTATATACATGTGGGAACAATCGTTGATTCTACACACGTTTTGTCGCGACGTTTATCACAAGCGGCCGAGTCGATTACGAAACGATCACAATTAATTATAATTTATTTTCTATTCATTGCACTACGTTTAAACGGGCTGGCCGCTACTCTTTCACTGTAGTAAAATATATTAGTTCTAACACGATAATATCACGAGTTATAGCTATACTGTATATATGATACTATGTTAAGATAGTAAGCTAATTAACGAAAAGCAAGGAATAGAGAGGAAACGAAGATTCGTACGATCCGTGGCTACTTTATTAAAAAATGTAAAACGGAGTAATCCAGGTACAAAGAGAGGAAATGATAAGGAGCACACGGTTCGACGTTCTGAAAGATCGAAGATAAACGATTACCGATGCCGTAGGAACGTTGTATATCGAATCGTTTCTAGGCGTCCTGATATCTACAGTAGGCAGTATCCTCTATCAACTCCTGAGGAATCAATTCTTCCGCTGGAGATTGATGGGACATGATTGTCGCATGATTTTCCACTTCTTTCAACACTCTTAATAAATTTCCGCCCACCAATTTCTTGATGTCCAAAGCTGACCATCTTCTATCTCTGGTCAATTCAGCCAGTAGCAAAGGATAACCAGAAACGTCTGGCAGTTCAATCGGCGGACTAAAGATATATGAAAGCTTATTTATCGACATTTTATTTTAAAATAAGCTGCTGATCGTTTGTACTCACTTCGATATACCATCGTAACCGGCTCCAAGACCCACGTGGTTAACGCCAGCTATTCGTCTGATATGATTGATGTGAGCTGTAAAGACGAGTAACATTTTTTAACATTTCTCAAATAGAATTCGATGCAGGCGTACCTATCACGTCATACATAGAAGCTTTATCGCCGCAGCTCAAATGCGCGCTGTCAAAGCTTACCATAACCAGACCTCCATTCACCGACTGAAACAAGAGAAAAAACACGATAACGCTAACGTTCTTGTTTTTCTTCACGTATGTGTACGAGTCATCGATTAACACAAACAATTAATGCTATTGATGGAAAATAAGACAAGGAATAATCATAAATTGTACATACACGTACACGAATAATATAAGATAAATATAATAAGAAAGATAAGTAAATAAAATAATATAAGAGAAAATATAAAATAGAAATTAAGGCTCCAGTGGAAAAATTGTTTCGTTCGACGTTCTTTTCTCACCAAATTACGGAGTATGTCGTCTGGAACATTGCTGGACGAATTACAGAGAGCTCTGGCCGCGCTATGAGAGAATATCACTGGTGCTTTACTCATCGCCAGTGCATGTCTCATGGTCCTTACCGAAACATGAGACAAATCTACGAGCATTCCTAATCGATTCAATTCTTTTACTACCGCTCTGCCGAATACCGATAATCCATCGCTGTGAAAATCCAATCGCGCATCCGAATTTGAATCTTCTACCGAACACGAATCAGCCCTGCGGACAATTACAATGGCTTATCATCATCTGCTTATGTATACGAACGCTGACACACATTGATTGATACGATTGATACTTCTCTTATCCTATTTGTATTATTCGTATATCAAAATAGAGATGCCGACTTGACGTAGAATGCGAGAATGAGAAATGTAAACTTACCATGGAGTATTGCATTTATGTGTCAGGGTCATATAGCGAGCTCCCAGTTGATGAAAACTTCTTAGCACAGCCATGGATGTCCCAATACTGTGACCACCTTCAATTCCTACCAAACTCCCAATCACGTCATCCTTGTGCGCTTTTTCAAGCTCTTTGCTACTCGTTACCATTCTTATTTTCTTTGGATACCTTGAAGTTAGCCTACGTACTACGTCTATCTGTTCCAGGGTGAGTTGCACCGCGTCAAGAAATTGTGCTTCGCACGGAACATAAACGGACCAGAATTGCCCGCCCACGATACCTTGTCGTAACCGCACCAAATCGGTTTGCCACCGAGAGCCCCAACTTATGTTTCGCGACAAGTTCTCGTCGAAAGGAAAGTCTTTCAACTTTGTGTTTCCCCGATGTTTTCGCAGATTCCATGCGAAATCATTGTGCCTGAATCAGAAATAATGATCGCTTGAATTCACAAACTGTTATACTGCTTGGATCAAAAGCTTTTTTACAAGATACTTTCTTACCCATCGATCAAAGGTACTTCTGACAGCATTCGTCTTACAACTTGAAGTCTAGCTTCCAATAAATGCGAGCTTCGTAGTTCCAAAGCTAAAGGTAATCCAACGCCTGCGACCAAAGCGCATCCAAGGAAAAAGAAACCAATCATCACTATCCATTTCCTTAACACGTTCCGTCCTGTGTATCATACCATGCACACATCTTTCGGTTATGTCATTATTTCATTCTCGACGAATGCGGACGAAATATAAATAAAAACGAAATAACTTTCTATTGTGCAATTATCTTTCTTCCTATCTGCCGACCACAGTGACGAATAAATGGATGATTCTTATTAACGCGTTTTGGACAACGCGATTTTATCGTCGCGATAACATCACCAATACGTGGAAAAAATGAAAACCATATCGAATTCCGATCTCTGTGAAATTCGAGCAAAAATTAACCACTTTTACGATTCTGCCCTACCATTGTTTCATCGCTAGAGAAGTTACACGGTTACGCAGCATTAAATAAACTCACTGACGTGCGAAATTACAAAAGAAACTGAAGTAGTTAACTAGCTATCACCACAGCAGACATAAGCTGTCCCAACTGTTTTCTAAACCACTTTATTCCATCCGTAAAATCCTCGCCTCTATTCCTACGATTAACGGTATACAAAAATTTGTCGTTCACACTTACTGTTTTCCCTTGGCAGATCTTTATTCTTATCGAAAGAAGTAGAAACAACTGAATCCTTTGTATGGTGTACCGCATCACCGTTTGGCAGTTTTCTCATTAACTCGGGAGACGATAATTGTAAGCAAGTCTGCAAAGTAAGTTGCAAGCAAATATCACTTTACTTATCAAAAACGAACAATCAACCTAGTCACCGTTCGAAGTAGTTCACCATTGTGTCAATAAAATTCGGTCAACGACCCAACCTATATATTTGATGAAAAGACATACACATTATTCTATACAAGTTAGCAGCCTTAAATATATCGATTGAAAAACCATCACTAATGAATATAATAACACTTAGCAAATAACTAAGCAAATTAGAATTAGACTATTTTACCTAATTACCTCTAATATATCAACTTCTTTTCTTCTCGGTGGTGGTGACCGATAAACCATACCATCTTTATTCATACCATACAGCTCAAACATCTTTATTTTCTTCCCACGATTGCTTGTTCCCTCTGTACATTGAGTTCTTCCCTCCGTAAATATCATAGGGAGCGTCCTATGCTCTAAAATATTAACGCATGCGCCAACTCTCATATCGATCCGACTCGAAAAACATTTTGAATTTAGACGAATTCACACAATACATGCTATTAAAAAATAATCGGCATTAAAAACAACTACATAACTGCTTGATTATACTACAACTAAATTAACTATTTACGTGACTAGACATACTTTTAAATCATTGTGAATCGTATGTATTCGTTTCTTCTGTTTCTCGTCATCCTTTCTCTCACATATTTTCTCTTATCTTTTACTTCTTTTCCACAATGCCACCTTTTACTTTGTATTACCGCAATCTGCAAGTATAATAGAAAAATTGTGTAAATCATTAAAATGGTTACCTAAAAAATTCCGTGTCTGGCGGTTCTATGGACGCGCAGGAAATTACAAAGCACGCGTCGCTTCCAGGCTGCGCAGGAGGATATGCGTAAATGTCAGTTCCGACCGCTATATACCGCCATATTGTTTGCGACAAATCGTGATCGTGCTCTGGTCTATCTTGTACGTGGTCTCGTGAAGTTTTTCTCTTGTTCGGTGAGCCCCATTGGGAAAATTTGCAAACATTTCGCGAAAAAGCAACATGAAGAAAACGAAGGACGTATCAGACGAGGATGAATATTCCGCAGATGATCCGGAAGAAGTAGAAGGAGCCTCTGAAGAAGAGTGGACTCCTGAAGCCGGAGCTGAAGTAAGCCCACGCTACTAATACTTTCTTCTTCTTTGCTGTTATCGCAATCAAATTTGTAACTGTTTTTTAACTAACCCTACTTTCTCGCTTTTCTCTTATGCTTTCTGCCAATTTCTTCATATGTTAAAACGTTTATTTGTGCTTAGTTATTCGTAAATAAACTTCTGTCAGTCGGCTAGTTGCTCTTACTTTAATACATTATATTTTTCATCCAAGTAAGAACAAGAGACGCAAATGTTTCTAGATATAACATTCAACTTATCATTTCTAATGCTTGCGCCTTATTTAATATCCTCCTAATCTGATACCTTCCGTTATTGTCAGAAAAAATGATCATTTTTAATCAATCAATTCTCCTGAATAGATAACGAGAAAACACAAGTCGATTTAGTTATGTATATATATATAGTAGTGATGTGTCGTTGCTGTGTCAAACACGCTACACGATATACCGTACTTTACCAAATCTATTACTGCTAATGAAATGTCTCGCAAAAAGTACATTTTATCATGAAATGATTCTTAATATTTATTATCAGCGAGAAACTTATAATTAAACCCTACTTTTCATTATATGCTTAGAAGATCAGTTATTCTTGGAAATGCTATTACAGTTGGCGAGTTATCATCGCCGGCCGGTCGGTGGCGCCGGGCGCTATATACATTTTTCAAAACAATGCAACTCTACTATCTACGCCTTTCGTTATTTAACCACTTTCTCTCTTATAATGGAATAATTGTTATTCATTTCTGTTATATATCATTATATAATTGTTTGTATATTTATATTATCACGAGAAAAATTATTTCAAATAACAATAAAAATTGAACATTTAATGTACAAAAGATACTTTATTTTTATATTTTATAATTTTAATATTTAGAGTGGTGCTAAAAAGAGGCCACAAAGGGAAGCTGCTAAAAAACGGCAACACTCAGAAGAAGAAGAAGATGAAGAAGAAGAAGAGGATGAGGAAGATGATGATGAAGAGGATGACGAATCTGATTCAGATACAGGAAAGAAACCTAAAAGAAAAAGGCGGTCTAAGAAAGAAGAAGATGAAAAGGAAGATGAAGATGAAGAAGACTCCGATGATAATAGCTTCAATGAATCGTCAGGAGAAACACCAAAAGATTTTACCGTTAGTTATATTTATTATTTATTTTACCGTTAGTTTATAAAATTCTATACATTTGTCTACTTGCATAATGAGAATACAATGTTGTTTGTATTGGTTATCCTAGTCTGGTGCATTCGTTGTGGCAAAAGCTGACATTGGTGGAAATACGGATCCAACATTGTGGAGGATAGATGGAAAGGCATTACTTCAAAAGTTTTTACCATTCAAAGAAGATGGGAAAACGTTATATAAAAGCACATCGACGGTAGATTATTAACATAATTATTAATTCCATTATGAAATCAACACCGCCTCTTTTTCCTTTGTGCCTAATAAGTATTATATGTATTTTATAGTATTCTGGATGGTCAGTAAATAACAAAGATAAATACTTAGCAGCCCAAGTAACTTTCAAAGTGCAAAGTAGAACAGAAACCATTGTTGAACTTCACCTTGATCAGCATCAACAAGAAGTTGTAAAGTATGTAGTTTCCTTCTACTTTCTTTTGTACTTTTATACTATTATTTTGTTATAATTATAGAATAATGCACAGCAATAACTGATCTTTTATTTCTTATTTTTTCAGAGAAGAAAAAGAAGACTAAATATAGATCATGTTTGATCATATTTGTTTATATACATTTTAAGGTATGCTAAGGAAGAATACATTTACAATCACAGGTACACATCAACATTACAGACATATTACGTAAATACGTGGATGCAGTTTACAAAATGATATCCTAGCAGATTCGTGTTTAAAAATAAGATTGAGTGGACCATGGATCTCAGTTCTTTACTAAGGGTAGCTTTACATATAATTGACAATTTTATCAGCTGTTTGTGTATGTCTCAATTGATAAGAGCTGTTAATTTCAAACATTATTTGTTTCCGTAAAAAATAAGATATCCACTCATATTTCGTATTTTATAAATTCGACGTAAGTCTAAAATTTCTTGTTTAGACTGCATGTTACTTTCGAAATATTATTGTATTGCTTACAATATTGGTGATAATCTTGATATACAAATTTCGGCGTAGTTTTAATTGCAAAATTTATTCGATCCTCTGTTGCACTTTAAACAATTCAATGTCCCAGTTATAAGAGCACCTTCAGTAACTAGATTTCGTGTTATGTTTAGTCGTTGAAATAAAAAACTTTAGATATAGAAAATAAATCAGTGTCAGTTACCGTTGTGGTCTTACGTTCCTATTGCCGTATAAATTTATATTGGAAAATCATATTATAAATGCTTTTAATTATCTTTAATTACACCTCGAAAATTTCATGGCTATAAATAATATGTATGATGAACTTCTGTTAGTGGCAACAGTGTGAATAAGAAATTAATTATATGTACTGTCATCAATCATGTTCAGTGGTATGTCATGTTCGATCTAGCTTTATGGATAAAAATTATGTTTTACGTATATAAAAGAAAGAAAAAAGAGAGAGAGCGCGAGAGAGAGAGAGAGAGTAAAAATTAATCGTGTCAAATATTTATTCAATATTCCTATATTATTTGTACATTTCATATTTTCTACAAAGCTCCTACCCTGTTTGTATAATTTGTATACATTAAATTTATTGGAATGTAGGCACATAATAAGGAATACAATTTCCGTTATGAGTTTAATAAATTTTAAACCATTAAATGATACATTAGATAAAGAAAAAATGTGTGTATATATATTATATTTATATATACACACGTATATAAATAAGTCCTGTTGTAACTTCCATTTTAATTTGTACTTTAAATATTTTGATTAATAATACGTAAATATAATTTTTGTAATTATGTCTAACTTAATTACAAAGGCTATGTGTTGAAATGTAGTTAATGTTAGCAAAGAGCCCCAATAAAACTATGTTTAGTTCGTATTACGAGCAACTTACAATAACAAAAGTATATGTTATAATACTTGAGCATTAAAAACAATTAACGAACTTATAAAATTATAACTCTATAGAAATAATTATACACGATAACTTTTTCTATTATAAAAAGATTTCAAGAAGAAGTTTATTTCTTTCGTCTATACATATATATATATTCTTGAATAGACGAAAATTCGAATATTTATTCAATTAAGAGCATAAGATTGTAAGTTCTTCAAGCAAAGTGAAATTATCTTCTTTTCTAATTTTCTTTTTTCCAAACATTCGCTGATATAGTACTAACTTGTGTGATAAGTTGTAAATTATTTTGAAGCTAATTTATATCTTTGAAAAAATATGTCTGTGTGTGTGGCATATGTTTATCAAAAAGCTTTGAATTTGAGTTTTTATTCTTGTCATTGTTGCTATTATTACTGCAATTACCACTACTATTATGGCTGCTACTATTACTGATATAATCATTATTATTTTCCTTTTTTATGGTAATATATTCGGAGCACGTTATTATTGCGAAAGTATATGAGATTAGAATTTTAATTTTTTTTCACTAAAGAATATGTAGTGTTTGATTGGCACAATTTTAAAATTTAATTAAGACTTAAATGTCATAAAAATCATTTCAATCCTACTTGAATGTATACACGTACATTATGTATGATTGAACAAGGATAAAAAGAAACGATTTATATATCAATATAAAATTACAATTAAACTCTCGGCATCAAGCAAAATTGTAATATGATTTAAATATAGTAACAAAAATAATAACAAAATAGCAATAATTTTCAAACATAACGAAACATTAAAACTATTTCATAGTAATGGAACCAATATGTTATTTGTAAATATATAAGATAATGAATATTGATATTTCATCCATATTTACTAAGTAATAAAAGTTTTAAATTATATAACAATATTTACATCTTTATTTGAAACTAAAAACAGAATAAAATATAATTACTATAAGCAAAAATGCATTCTTGTTGCATTGATATCTATTATAATATTTATCACCTGAAATAATTTCATGAATCACTTTAAGTGATGAGCAAAATACTTTTGAAAATATACAATTGAAATTGCTTCAAAAGTTTTAGATATCCTAACATCATAATGAATATGAAAACAACATGTTTTCATAAACCCATAAATCAATTTAGGTCAAAAACCAGGTTCTAATCGTACAGATAACACATTATTTAACATTTCTCGAATTTCTGCCATTTCTCTCCTGCTCTTTGTTACCATAGTTTCCAAATTTTTATTTTCTTGAATAATTTTCTCCATTTTCTTCCAATATTTTTTAGTACCAGAATGACAGCAACAGGTTGTTTTTTCGCCTTTATCTGTACACACTTGTTCTACAAGCTTGGTTTCCTCAACATAGTATTCATTCTTATTTCCCCGTTTATTTTTACTTAAACTATCTTCTGCTGATTTATACATTCCTTCAAGTAACTTCTCTGCACATTCATTTACGTCATAATTTTTAGTTTCATTTTTTAATCTTGGAAATTTCGTGGAAACGCTTTCTTGGTTACAAATTTCATGTACATTTTTATTCGTGTTACATTTCATTCCCATGCATTGCGCCGTATCAGACTGGCTGAGATTTACATTGCAATAGTTTACCGCATCTGTATCGCTTATTCTAGACTGTCGCTTCAAAGTTTTTCTCCTTCGAGCAAGTACAGTATCGTCAACATGCTCAGTAGTTTGCACAAAGCCATCGCTGTGTCTTCGTTTATTTACCATTGATATTTTTCCGTCTTTCATATCATAAAATCCATCACTGGCCCTTCGAATATCAGATACATTTTCTGAAACTGTGTTTGGAAAAATATCATCTTTGTAGTCAGTATTTTTATTCAAATTTTCATTTTGCTGGTCCTCGCTTTCTTCAAAAACTTTTACTGATAAAGAAACATCGGTGTCATTAAGTTCCGTACTGTCGTTAAAAAATAATCGTTTTGGTAATATTTTTTTCTGGATAGGTGTTTGCTGATATACTTCATTATTATTATCAGCTAAATCATTAGATACTTCTGAATGTTCTACGGCGTTAGAATCATTGCTTGGAATACTTTCGAACGACCTTTTTTCGTTAGAAGGATCAATTTCGATTAGATCACCATCATGACCAAATGCAAATGACTTTTGTCCTGAAAATGTTCAATGTTCAATACTACAAATAAAAAACGTATATAAAATATAATTCTTACCAATAATCATACGTTTATTACGCATGTCGGGACTTTTTGAACGTGGTCGTTCCAAAAATTGTCTGCTATCAGGAGACAACACAGAAAGTGTACCACCACAATGTAGAGGACTGTATTGTTCATACGAATTATACATTGCATATGGATCGTGTTCATGACTCTCATGCTCTCGTAAACGCTGCATAATCTTTTGCACAATTTCCGATGGCGCTACATACGGTGAGCCTATCACATAAGGAGAATAATGATTTCACATCCCTTAGTAATTAAATATCATTATACATTAACAATAAATAAATATAGTACAATACTAAAAGTAGCTGTAAACAAGAAGCAATCACAATTTATGAAAATACAACACAGTACGCAAATTATAAAAACTATGCAACTTTATTTTTTTTTATTAAACATACTACCAGTCTAAATACTTGATGATCAATTTGTCATATTTAAGAAATGCCCTGCAAACTAAATAAATGATTATAATCACACCACATCTATAATACAAAAACAATTACATACTTATTTCAGGCATTAGATATTTTCACAATGGTAATATAACTATTTCATGCAAATTCTGTTTTCTTGCTATATATGATAAAAACAAACATATTTTAAACAAACTCATAAATGTAAATAGTTTAAAACACATCAAGACAAATATTTTGCTTGTACTGAAAAGTAATTCTTTTAATGCTTTAAACAAAAGTTGTTTAAGAATCAAGAAAATTTCAGAAAAAATCTAACTGCCACAAGACTTACAAAATTAATTGGTCCAGAATGTCTGCGATGTGGATGAAGTCTAGACACAGATAATGTGTCATCACTTCCTATAACATTACTATTTGTGTAACACAAATTTATTTTTAACATAATTAATAATTTAACTATAAAATTTATTTAAACTGTCCCACATTAAGGTGCAACAACTTTTGAATTACTATTTATTCTTCTCTTAATTCCATTACATGTTTCTATTAAGTGTCAGTTTTTGATAAGCAGCTCACCTGTCAAACCTCTATATCCGAGAGATACAGAATCAAAGGATTCACTAGTTTCCTGTTGTTGCTTCATAAAATCATTAATAGCTATGCCTTTTAATTTCGATGGCTGAAGAAATCTTTTCGGTATACGAGAAAAGGAACCATTTTCTTGTGGACTGCTCGAGCAACCACCAAATCCAAGACCTAGCAAAATTGCTTCTGGATCTGCTTTTCTTAGCTCTAACAAGCTTTCTACACTACTACAATGACTACTATCAGATTGTAGGCTTGGATCCCGAACCAATTTATGAGGCAATGAGCTGTATGAAGTAAATATAATTGTAAGTATAATGTTTTTGAATTTATTATACATTTCTTGTACTATGCCTTTTATTATACCTATGTAATCCTGTTGTATTATTTGATGTTGTATTAGGAACATTAATAGGTGCAGACACTGTCATAGTTAATTGTTTTGTTCTCATAGAATATGGAATGTCCTTAGGCTCTGTTAGTGCCAATGAAATATTAGGTTTCTTACTGCTTGATTCTCCTTGATTATCATTTTTCATTGAAAAATTAGACTTTATAGGTGATGGTATTGAATCTATCCATTGTTGAACAGGTCCAGTTTGACGTCTCATCTCCCAAATTCCACGTAACCAATCCGTTACCTTTACAATTGTTTCTTTCCTTGTGTTTTCTTATAAAATATAGATACATAATAAAATTATAAAAGTATTAGAAATTCAATGATGGACATAATATAAAATTTAAAATAAATTTACTTATGATAGAATTAACTGTAAATTGAATTAATATTAGCCACCGTAAAATGCAAGAAGTTTGTTGTATATGTGTAAAATTCAATGACATCCATATGTTGCACAATAAATATTAAAAACAATTTCTTTAAAAGGATTTAAACGATAATTTTAATAGTTAATGATAATTTAAATATTTAGATGCAGCGTATATGCACACGAAAATGTTATAAAATAACAAACGATTTATTTTCCTCGACAATATGTACCTGGATCCATATCCTTTAAGCAGCGTAAACAGTATATAAATAGTATATAATAATAGTATATAAAAAGTGAAAATATTCGATTGCACAGATACGCATTAACTAGTCATTATTTTTATATGTATATGATTGCGAAATAATAATTGTAATAATGCGTATTGATAAACTATAAAACCTATGGGTGTAAAATATTACAAACCAACACTTACCTTAAATTTAAGAGAAATACAAGAATAAAGAAGACATTTCTGTTCTAATCAAATCGTATTTAAACACATGTTTGAAGAATCTCTATTCATTGAATGATTTGTGTCCCGCGGAGCGATTGAGAATAGAACAGCCACTTGTTAACCACTCTAACAGGGTTTCAGGGCCGTCTAATGCAGTGGTACTTTTATAAATTTTAACATTTAAGTAAGTAAATATAACTAATTGTCATACATCTAGCTTTTATGCTTTTATTAAATAGCAATTCTATTATATATAAATTTAATTTGACATTTATAATCATAAATATTATGTATATTAATATTTGATCGCAACACTGCGTATAAACAGATTGGTACATGAAGTAAGCGATGTTATAAAAGAAATATATACATGTCAAGTAAAACAACCAGTATTGAGTAAATTATTATGTTATAGCAAGTACTTTCAGATGGTATAATATTTATTTGAGTAAAAACAAATTAGTTTGCGCGCATGTGCACATATATTCCCATACATATGTATATGTACATATGTGTATATATAGTTTCTTATAGATGTACACATTGAGTGACAATGACAAAATAACAAGTAACCTTTGAATTAGGGAGATCAGTTTGACGTGCGTGTACATATATTTACACAATTTATTGTACTGGAAAATATTTTGAAGTTTTGTAAATGTCATCTCATAGAAAGAAAAATAGAAAACGAATACTAACAAGACGACCGCGACATGTAATTGGGAAAGAAGAAAAATATCGTCAAGAAAGGGATAAGTCGGATAAGGAAGATGAAGTATCAGGTTAGAATAAAGTAGTTTGGTTATATACAGATTCATAAGAAACTCCGAGATAGACCCGACTGTTTTAATTTCCAGAGAAAGAAGAAGAAGAATGGTCCCTTCCTTTTCCCGTCGCTATGTGGGATCTCGAACACTGCGACCCTAAAAAGTGTTCCGGTAAAAAATTGGTTAGACATGGCTTAGTAAAAATATTAAGGTTAGGAGCTCGATTCTCAGGATTAGTTCTTACTCCAATTGGTGAAAAGGTATAAAAAATATCTTTGTTGCAATATAGAAGATAAATTGACTTCTAATACTCGAAATTGGAATATCATGTTGCAGTGTGTGAGTCCCACAGATCGCGATATCATACAAGATTATGGTTGTGCGGTCGTAGACTGCAGTTGGGCACGTTTGGACGATACTCCATTTAATAGAATGAAAACTCCCAATCCTCGTCTTTTACCATTTCTAGTTGCTGCGAATCCGATAAATTATGGCAGACCATGTCAATTAAGTTGTGTAGAAGCTATAGCTGCTACTTTGATTATAACAGGTTTTCCCGAAGAAGCAAATTTTTTTCTTGGAAAATTCTCCTGGGGCCACTCGTTTTTACAATTGAATGGCGAATTATTAAAGAAATATTCACTTTGTACAAATGCAAAAGAAATTATATCTGTCCAAGAAAAATTTCTCATAGATGCAAGGAAAGAAAAGTTAAACAGACATGGTAATTCTTGTAATCTTTTTGATTATTAATCTATCACTTCTTATTAATGTGTATTTATAATTTGTGTTTATTCAATAGTTGTGTCAGATTTTCCACCAACCGATTCGGAAACTGAAGAGGAAGAAGAAGAAGAAGAAGAAGGGGAAAAAGAAGAGGAAGGGAAAGAAGAAACTGTACCTGTAAATATTATTTCCAAAATAGACGAGCTAGTAAAGGACACAAAAATAGTGTAAAAATGACTCAAATACAGTTGTATATACATATGTATTTTCTTTATATAATAAAAACATATTGGTTATGACACACGTTTGTAAAATTTCACCTTTGCAGATAGCTAACAAAAAATAACCAATCGATATATTCCTTGTAACTACTAAAAGTAACCGAAAGAAAGAAAATAAATCAAACGAGATGACAAATCGAAATGAATAACGCGTGAATGTCAAACTTCTTCAAGACAAAATTGCGCATGCGTAACATATACATTTTAAAATGGCCGAACGTGTGGTTCAGAGTTGTTCAGAGTGCACTGGTTTGTCATGTCAGTTGCACAGCTGATACCAAAGTGACGTCAGTAAAACAAAGCCATGCGCGGTCGATCGCAGCCGCGAAGTAAACCGAGCAGACCGAACTGTCTTGTGAGCAAACATTGAGCGTCCGTGGTCCAGTGAGGTGCGTTCCTTAATATATTTGATCGTTAGTCGAAGGATCGCTCGTGGTTTGCACACGTAAGCAGAGCAAGCATCTCGCACAATTATATATCTTGCGAACGATGCCATTCATATCGAAGGATTGGCGCAGTCCTGGCGAAGAATGGGTAAAAACTGTCGAAGGTTGGGAAAAGAAGAAAATCCTCGAATGCGCCAACAATAAAACACTTTCTCTTTTACTTCGGTGAGTACTGCCATCACTGATTCTTATCCTTTCCCTTTTGTTTTTTTTTCATTCTCGCTGAGAATGTATTTTTTCTTTGCAAATAATACCGAAGAAACACAACCAATCGTTTCTATCCGAAACTTCCATCTGTCTCACAGCTGTTACATCGATCGAATGACAGTTCTCAGTTTGTTTACTCTTGCAAACTTGACATACACTAGTAGCTGTGTGTCTATCGCTAAATAGCCACCACAATTAAGTTAATATGAATGGAATTAATAAATAAGAGAAAGAGATACCACGTGAAAATAAAATTTTTCCATTTTTTAAGAAATGCTTATATATTATACTGAATACTAGTTATCGCACGCGCTTTTTTAGTTATGGAGTTACAATTCTTAACTTTTAAACATTACTTTATGATACGATTGATTCCTGTTTAGTACATATCGTTTTCGATCTGCGTATCACATTTTTATCGCGATTTCCATTAATTCAATGTTTCATAAGTACCCTTCCTTGATTTGTTAGAGAAGTTTCTATCTTGTCTTATTCATTTTATATCGGTATAAACAGAAGCCCAAAAATAGCCTATCCATGTTGTTCTTCATGCATTCTTGGTTCATTCTAAAACAGCACGATTTTCTTTGCATAAGAAAAAGAAAAAAATACTTTATAATATATATATAATTTCGAACGTATCTTTTTATTATGTCTTGTTCATTTTTTACAATAATAAAGGATTGAATTTTCTACTTAATAATATGTATTCCTTACTCCTTATTCACTATATTGCATACGCAGAAATGCGCGTGCGTGTGTACGTGTGTGTGCCTAACCGTTGTAGTGCATAGTGCACGCTCTGAACGTCTTCCCTCTTTGCTTGCCGTATGTACGTATATACTTCGTACGATACGATGAGTTTGGACTTGGACGCGTCTCGCGTTCATACTGGAACTAAGTTGGTGTCGCGAGACCGTGAAAGCTTATGGTAAAGCGTACAACAAAGAGAGAGAAAGAGAGAGAGAAAGCTGCATCGTACATAGTCACGCTTTCGCGCGCTTCACAAAAAAAGAAAATAATTCTCTTTTTTCGTATAAAATCTTGGTTTTCTGCCATAAAATATGTTCGTTATCAAAGACGTTGCCTTGATGAAGTTTTATGCAGTCTAGTGTAAAGCATAGCAGAAAAACTATTATTTGCTTTACGAAATTTGTCGAACGTTGAGCCAGTATTTAAGTAGTTATCTTATCCTTGGATAAGAAAATTCCCGAAATAGCAGAGAGAAAATCGTGTTGTCGTTCATGCATGTGTTTGAAGTAGGTTATAACCTAGCTAATACGACCTGTATCAATTCTGTAAACCTTCTTCATCACCATGTTGTTCTGATACATTCAATTCGCGACAGTGCAATACTTTTTAACAAGTATTTTTCATTAGCATATACCTAGTGAAGCATAACAGTTCGTTTATACGATAATAGGCCATGTATTAAGGCGTGGATTTTTAGAAAGCATTGGAACAGCTACGTAAAGATCGCGAACGCATAAATGTACCTGAGTATGTGTCTAGACAGAATGGTGAGATTTGAAACTTTAGATATTCTTGTACAATGTGCAATGTGCAACAAGCAACAGCACAAGTAATATTTATTGTATACAGGCGTAGTACTTAGTTACTACGCGATTCGTTTCACGCGCGAATGGAGCATTACCAACAGTTATATAATGTTACGGATTATTGGCGCGGGGTTTCTCTCCCCGCGACGCGTAAGCACATTACCGCAAGGTCTCCCTCGATGATCATGTTCGTCGTGAATCGACAACTGGATCATTTCACCCGTCTCGCTCGTTTCAAGATAAGGACCTATGTATTTATACGAATCTTTAAAAGAAAATTTCTTGCTTGAGTTTCAATAGTATCTTTCACACCAGGCGATAGTTTGGGTAAGAAGTTGTTCGCCCTGGGAACAATATAAATTGTTTTTACCGATTTTCATTTTGCGATGATCATTATGTTTAGATAATTTGTATATTCATAACGTTTGGAAAAGCACGTTGCGTTTTGACTTGAAAAATGAACCAAGTGGAAAAAAAACACGAGAGAAAAATTAATGAAATAGATTTTGAACGAAGAAAGTCGCATTTTTCCACAGAAGTCTGATAAGTGTATCCGTTAATTTCGCGTTTTCTTATCTTTTTTCTCAGTGGCTAGTATTGAACGAATTTAAAAGATATTTAAATGATAAACGGTATTTTAACACGTATCTTTTACATCTGTAAAACGACAGATCGTTACAAACTTGTTATGCGTTTGTGCTTACGTGACATGAATACATAAGTATATATACTCAATATACATATATTGAATTCGTGAGAATCGCGTTTACGAATTGTCGAGTAATTTTAGTGTAAGGAGCAGAATTATATTAATGGTTCGTTTTTTTCGCAGCGGCGATAAGGATGTGCTCGACAAAAAGGAGAAGGATAAAAAGAAAGGTGAGCAGAATATTTGTAAAAGCTATCGAAACTGTCGATTCGTACCTTTTCAATATGTACATATTCCCTTTTTTTAGCGTGTTTCATGCGCTATCAAAAACGGCTGAAAGTAGAACGTTACTCGATTGTCGATTGGAAGGCAAAGTATATGATCGTCCTTTGAATCTTTCTTCGGTTAATTCTTCTTTTTCACGTAATTTTAGAAAACGCCGTCCAGCCGCATTGCCGCATCACGCTGAAATGCACTCGTGAGGTGAGTGACTTGTTCCATCCATGCTTATATTTAACCTTAGCCTCGTGAAAGAGGAGAGAAATGGGATTTGGTCGTTAAGGTTAAGAAAGAAAGAATCGAAGGAAAAGAGGAAAAGGAAGGAAAGGAAAGAAAAAGAGAAAGGAGAAGAGAAGAAGAAAAAGAAAGAGGAAGAGAAAAAGAATAAGAGAGAAGAGATATGAAATGAAAGAAAAAAAATAAAAGGATAAAGGTAGCAACGAAACGAAAATAACGGGAAAGTAAAAGAAGAACGATTGTACTCTTCTTCCATTCGATTCCAAACGGTATATTGTTAGGGTTGAATCGCGAGCATGGGCTAGGGTACGCGCACATTTAAATAAGATTAAACGAAGGAAAAAGAAACGATTGCGACTGTGCGTTCTATTTAAATTCGTAGATTGCTGGTTTCAACGGTTTAAGCGATGCGCTGAAAAGCTTGGACTTTTTATCAGCGGTGCACGATTGCCGACGTTTTAATTACATTGTGCAACTTTTGGATCTTCTGGTCAGTCACAGGATGGGCGGTCTTAGTGGATGCGCTCAACGAGTTCTCTTCAATATGTTGGAAGAAGTCGCATTGGAAGGTAAAGATTTAAGCTACTAAATTGATCGCGATCATATTAACTCTCTTATACCTCTGTTCTTACGATATGTTCGGCAGTATCGTTGTCGCAGCAACAAACCGGAAAACTTCGTCGGTTGATCGAAAGAGTTCGGGCTTTCAGCGCGGGTTGTTGCTGGGGCGGTAGACCTTTGGGTTCTGTAGTTTTATGGGAGAAACACAAAGCCGCTCTAGAACGAATATTGCAAATTGCTTCGTCCATCACTATAACTCAGGTAGAAAAGCGTAACTAGGGTAAAGAGAGACGAGACGTTCGTTTGATCATTATTGCTGTTTTTTAGCCGGACGAGGAACAGCAGCCGCAGTGGTCGGATTTGCCAGCGGAATGCCGCCGGGAGGTTCTCCTTCGACTCAGTGATCCACGAGACATAGAAGCGTCCTCGGAAGCTTGCGAACATCTAGCTGTTCTAGCACAGGAACAGAGAATCTGGCGGGAGCTTGCCCAGTATCACTTCACGCCTCAACAAATAGCCTCCACTAGACAGCATAATCCTGGAAAAGACTGGAAGACTATTTTTACTATCGCACGAAGGTACATCGTACATATAGATACTATTACATTTCTTAAATAATACAAATATTCATTTGGTATTCTTATGCTTAATCCGTTACCACCTATGTCTTGTTGTTCGCAAAATCAATGGACTTATTATGTGACTTATAGGTCGTTTGGTCTGCGAGAAGAATATGCAGAGATAATACAGTTGTGCCGCAATTGCCGCTGCCTGTTTTGGCGGTCGCTCGGACATCCGTGTATCGCCGATCAGGATCCAGCCTTTCAGGAGAAACTAGCGGATGTCGATCGAGCATCTCTTCATGTTCCGATTCCTCCGCAGACCTTTCTCAAATTCTTTTCCCTATGAAACAAACAGGCAGATAGAGAAGAGGAAACAAGGGATCTACGCATCTATTTTTCTAGCCTTCTTTGGCAAAGGAATAAACGATCAGAAAGGTATACGCGCATTGCGTAACAACCTTCGATGCCCTTCGTTTTCTTGTTTTCGCCTTGTCTTGTTCCCGATGAATGCGTTCGGAAATGCGTTGCTTAAATCACCCGATCACCAACCCCTAAATTTTCGACTCCTTTCAATCTCGATCGCTCCAACTTACTTCGATCAGTTCTTTCAAAGACATCGACATAATAACAATAATAATAATAATAAAAAGAAGAAAGAGAAAATATCGTGACCATCTCGTTCTCTCTTTGATATCTCATATCGTTACCTAACGAATGTTATCATATGCTTTTCGATTTTTCCGACGCCAAACAAAATGAACGAAGTGTAATAATATGGCACAAATTCGTGTGTATCGTGAATCGTAGAATTAGCTGTGTGTGTTCGTTCTTTATCTACTTGTAATCGTACAACAATATGACACTCACTACCCTTCTCAAAATGGAAAAAACTTTTTCATTCGACTTTTAAAGAAAAGTTGAAGCAAAATAAAAATTTTGTGTCAACTTTATTTTAAGTGAACGAATATTTTATGTTTATCCATCGAAGCGTCTTTACATAAATTACGTTGATTAAATGTAACGAACATTGATCTTATTGCAAAATTTCTGTGAAAGACACATAATTATCAGCGATGGTACTACATACTTATTCAAACGTTACTTATTGAGAACGTATTTATGATATATGTATGTGTGGAATTTATTTTGGAACGGTATTGTTTATTACAACGAAGTTAAATACGTTACAGTTCCCGATAGTTTTATCGATATTTCTCTCATCCATTTAAATCAATATTTATTTTTTAATTACTTTTGTAATATTACTTATTACCAATTTTGCGTCTATTTTGTACACTTACATATTTTATATAGCCTTTTTTGTTTTGTATATCAGCATCATCGTCATCACAATCGTTATAACCATCGTAGAATAAAGAAATGTCAAATTATTTTATACATAATGTCATCCCTTGACGCTAACTTTTAGTGGAAAATATTAATCTTTACATTTGTTACTTTCTGCGAACATTTCTTTTATATGGGTTGCTTTAATATAATAGGTTTTATTCTTAAAATGAAATATAATAATAGAAATACGTTGTAAATTTATCTTGAATTGATACTTTTTTCCCTCTTGAAGAAAGGAGAAGGGGTCTATATGCTAGTTGTAACGAATACAAATATTTCCATTAGTTACAATTAGTATGCATTTATTACACACATGTTCATTTAACTGTAGTATTGCTGAATGTTTAAGCGTTTCACGACTATATAGATATTAAAATTGATTAAGCGATTCATTTGGAATGCTGAAATCTATACTGCCAAAATCAATACTGCTGCATTTATCCCTATCAATGCATTTCTTGGTACAGTTCCCTTAAGTACTATATACACAATTAATTTCTTTTTTTGATATGTTACTTCTCTTTACTTAATACAATTGCATTACAATCAATCAATGTATGTATGTATATCTTTCCGAAGTAGTTGTATCATAAAATATGTATACATTGTTTGACGAGTAAGAATACTAAAAATACAGCATGAAAGCTGTGCTTATCAATCCGATATTTTAGCAAATTGTTGTTATAACTTTAAAAATTTTCTTTATCGATTTCTGTAATTTTTTTTATACCGACACAACATTTTTTTTACGTAAAGGATGTAAAGCAATGTTGTGCCAGATGCTCCAAAATAAAAAATTTATTTCTGTATATATATGTGTTAAATTTGTTTATATACGAATGTACATATATATGTACGTTCATACATATAACAACTACGTATACATATAAAATATATTTAATTATAAATATAGATAAAAAATTTGATATTTCATTTCTTCTTAAATTTATTTTATTAATTATATAAGTAAATTGTAAGAAAAGTAATTATAATCTACTTCGTGATGCTGCTCTTTTTTCCTATAAAATAAAGAAATCCTAGAGTTATACATATAATTTCTTGCATTTCAATATACGACACTTAAGTTTACACATGTTATACTTATATATAGACAAACATACGAATCTTATTTACATATGCATATATACGCAGTGGCGATTTTTCATTTTTGTTATATTGGTAGAAGTGTAAGTATATAAACTTAGTCATTTAGTGAACTGAGTTTTAATAATTCTAGAATAATTTAAACCACAATGTATCTATTCTCAACTTCATTCGTTTTATGGTTAAGTTCATTTTTCGATGAAAACGCCACCTATACACAAAGCTAACTACAGAATATTGCGCACGCGTAGTTCAGAAATTTAGTGACGCTTGTCCTGTCGGTGGGTATAGCGACGCTCCGCGCTTTACGTTTAATTCATATCAGGTATTTTACAATTAAGGAGAAAAAATCGGCCAAGATGACGACGTTGCCACATAGCAAGAAGCGTGTCTGCTACTACTATGATAGTGAGTAAAAAAGTTAAAAAATGTTGATATACTTAGTATCCCGCGAAAATATCGTACATGCACAGAGAGATTGTCAAAATGTGTTTGTGCTATACGCGCTTGTATCGTCTATCATGCATTTATTTCACATTTACTTACTTTTTCTAACACGCTTTTCATTTTAATATATTTATTTAATCATTGAGAAAACGTATTTCTTATACAATGTTCGCTTTTTGTTATCTTTCCTACGATTGCCTGCACGGTTTCAGACGCGTTAAGGCGAAAGATTCATGGCTATTACTCCATGTTACCTTACTCCAACCAAGAAAGAGCGTCCGCTTTTCACGATCCGTACAATCATTCAATTATCATTTGATAATATACTTTCGTATCATATTATATATATATATATTTTTTTCTTTTTCTCTTTCTAAATTATTTTTTAATTATTTTCTAATATTAACGTTTCAATTCAATAACAGTCATTAAATTTTAATAATATATCGTCAATATAAGAGGATAGGAATTATAAATATTATTAATATCATAATTATCTTTTATATCTATATATTGGTTATATTCTCTATATTTATTTCATATATTATTATTAATATTTTTTAAGTGAGAATGTTAATTTTCCAAAGAAACAGATTAATTGAAGGTTATAATTTAAGAATATTTCAAAAAAATATTATCACTTTTGCAATCGTATAAAATTATAGACCTGCTTAATACTTTTACTAAATTTGAAGAAGATAATACAGTTTGAGTCGAATAGGTAAACGGTAATACCTTTTCCGTGCAAATTATGCGAAAAATTCTCAAGCGTACCTCGGTCGCCTGTACCAGAGGAAACGATATGTATGTATGCACATGTAAAATCAAAACTATTTTAAGTTAATAAAATTGTTGCAAATATTTAACATAATTCTTTTCCTAAAACTTATATCAAATAATAAAATAAATAAAGAAATAAATTATATTTTAGGTGATATTGGAAATTATTATTATGGACAAGGACATCCTATGAAGCCACATCGTATAAGGATGACCCATAATTTACTTTTGAATTATGGTCTTTATAGGAAGATGGAAATATATGTAAGAATTATTCATTGAATGATATTCTTCTGTTTATAATTTTTAGTATTTATATGTTTACTAATTTATAAAAATGTACAAAAATACAAATATTATGTTGCATGGATATTTAAAATAAATATTTTCATTATCATTTCTTTTCTATTTCTTTAATTTTATTCTCTTTCTTTTGTTTAGCGTCCACATAAAGCTACAGCAGATGAAATGACAAAATTTCATAGCGATGACTATATTAGGTTTTTGAGATCAATAAGACCTGATAACATGTCAGAGTATAACAAACAAATGCAACGATGTAAGATTATAGATCTAATATTTATACATTCAATGAATATATGTGTATATGTATGTTATATATATAACATATATATATATATATATATGTTATGTATATATAAATATATATGTTTGATAATTGTGATTACATTTAGTATTTCCTTTTTCCTTTAGTTAATGTAGGAGAAGATTGCCCTGTCTTTGATGGTTTATATGAATTTTGTCAATTATCAGCTGGAGGTTCTGTTGCTGCCGCTGTGAAACTTAACAAACAGGCCTCAGAAATTTGCATAAATTGGGGTGGTGGTTTGCATCATGCCAAAAAAAGTGAAGCATCTGGATTTTGTTATGTAAATGACATTGTATTAGGAATACTGGAATTGCTCAAATATCATCAAAGAGTACTATATATTGATATTGATGTTCATCATGGAGATGGTGTAGAAGAAGCTTTTTATACCACCGATAGAGTTATGACGGTTTCTTTTCATAAATATGGTGAATATTTTCCTGGTACTGGTGATCTGCGTGATATTGGTGCTGGAAAGGTAAAAACTTTGTTAACAGTATAAGTTTGATATGTTTCTATTTTTAAATTTTATATTAACTTGAAACCTTGTTTTCACAGGGAAAGTATTATGCAGTCAATATACCACTAAGAGATGGTATGGATGACGAAAGCTATGAGTCAATATTTGTACCTATTATTTCTAAAGTGATGGAAACTTTCCAGCCTTCTGCTGTGGTCCTACAATGTGGTGCTGATTCATTAACTGGTATACATAAATATCATTTAGTAAAATGAAATGAAGGAAATAAAATAAAAATTAAATTGATACATGTTATTTGTAGGAGATCGGTTAGGCTGTTTCAATTTAACAGTGAGGGGTCATGGGAAATGTGTTGAATTTGTAAAAAAATATAATCTACCCTTCTTAATGGTTGGTGGTGGTGGATATACAATCAGAAATGTATCTAGATGTTGGACATATGAAACTTCGGTTGCTCTTGGTTCTGAAATTGCAAATGAGTTACCCTATAATGATTACTTTGAATATTTTGGTCCTGATTTTAAGCTGCACATTAGTCCTTCAAACATGGCAAATCAAAATACTCCTGAATATCTCGAGAAAATTAAGTATGTTTTATCTCAAGGATAATAATTAACCGCTTCTTTTCCTTTTTTTATTGTAGTTAATTTCACATATTCTATATTTTTTACAGAACCAGACTGTTTGAAAATTTAAGAATGTTGCCGCATGCCCCAGGTGTGCAGGTTCAACCAATTCCAGAAGATGGTGCAGTCATTGAAGATTCAGAGGCTGAGGAAAAGGTAAATCCAGACGAAAGATTACCACAACGAGATTTAGATAAAAGAATACAACACGAAAATGAATATAGCGACAGTGAGGATGAAGGTGAAGGGGGGCGAAGAGATAATAGGTCATTTAAGGTAACATCCATTATTATTCATAAATATAGATATTTTATTATTTCACATTTTCACAGGGGTAATGTTTCATTTGTGTTAAATATTTTTGTATTTAAGTCACAATTCTTTCTATTTAATAGGGTTCCAGAAAACGACCACGTCTAGAAAAAGGACAAGAAGGTATAGAAAGTGATCTAAAAAAAGAAGAAGACATAAAATCAGAACCAAAAGGTATGTAATTTTAATATCTTTGTATATTTTTAATGTACTTTTGTTTTTACTTTTATCATAATAAAAAAAAATATTTTCTAGAAAATGAGAAAGATGAGAAAACGAATGTTACAAATGAGGAAACGAAGAAAGATGGTGGATCGAATCCCTGATAAATGGTATTTGTTTACAAAAAGAAATTGAAAAAAGTTCTTATTTAAATTAATCATAAATCAGTATAGATAAATTAAGTGAACAAACATGCAGTGCATAATAGATGTCTGTTGTCTCGAACTGGACATACCATTGTAAACAATATAATTTCTTTTATTCTTTGATTCAAAATCATACAAATACTTCAATAGGAATATATATATATGAATGTTACAAATGAGGAAACGAAGAAAGATGGTGGATCGAATCCCTGATAAATGGTATTTGTTTACAAAAAGAAATTGAAAAAAGTTCTTATTTAAATTAATCATAAATCAGTATAGATAAATTAAGTGAACAAACATGCAGTGCATAATAGATGTCTGTTGTCTCGAACTGGACATACCATTGTAAACAATATAATTTCTTTTATTCTTTGATTCAAAATCATACAAATACTTCAATAGGAATATATATATATATATATATAAAAACGCACATATATATATATATATATATATATATATACATACACACACACATACATATATCTTTATTAAATTCGAGGCAAGAGACATTATTATCACTTATGTACATCTACGAGCATACAATTGACATGATAGACCTTCAGTAATTTCAGTTATCTCATTAAATTTATAAACATTAGCCGAAATTCTCAAAGTTATAAGCCATTAAGCAATCACTCCTTGAAATATTTTTTAAATCGTGCGATGAACGATATCTTGAGTAATCGGTCAGTCTTATGATCTGATTAAAGCCTTCATGTTCACTTACTGTTAGAATCAATACATGTGACTAGTCAAATAAGACAAATGGATATCTTAAATGTACAAAGAAGATTAAATTTTTTATAAAAGTTAAAATTTTCACTAAGATCAGAAGATATAGGCAGCTTATCAAGATATCTAATTTTTGTAATTGACACATTTCGATAAGTCGAAAGTTTAAAAGTATACAAATCAACATAATATGTTTTGGATGAATACGTTTCTTTGTCTTCTTATCCATTGCTCACAGCATGATCATCATTAAATAATTTAATGTGCGATTTTTATAATTGAAAGGGAATGAGATTGTATACAACGGGCTAGTATTATGGACTAACAAATTTTTTACTTCCTATTCTCTCTTGTACATACAAATCCGATTTAAACAATGTCCTACATGCAATACTATACATATAATAATGACATAATGATATTCCTTTTGATATGTAAAATATTTTATTTTATATGTGAAAAATTAAAGTCAGCGAAAAAGAAAGTATGAAAAGAATAGAACACTCAATGAACACACTGAATTGGAGCAGAATTGTAGAATCTTAAACTAAGAAGAGATAATACTAAAAATTAAACACTTGTGACTAAGTCGACTTCTGTCTATATGTCGAGGCTGCAGAAGCATTCTCGTTCAAAGAAAAAAGTTAGAAAAAGAAGAAAAGTGTCGTTCTAATATAAAGATTAAAATTATTATCTTTCAACCATGTTAATTTCACATTTGCACGATAAATGCATTAATTTTTTATACATAAAGTGAACTTCTGTGCGAGTCGAAAATTCTTGCAAAAATGGATTAGATTCGACTAGTTGCATGGTGTAAGATAAATAATTGAAAAAGAAATAAGTCGATTTATCTAATTGTAATTAAACATATACTTTTATTGTAATTAAACATATACCTTTACTGTAATTAATTATTTACAACACAAAGATAAATTCGATATAATATTTGCGTACATCTAAGTCGATTAATTAAAATAGATCAAGTATAATATAAGTATATATGTATAAAGTTATATGCTATATACTATATCAGAATACGAATAACAAATGTTTTTAAATATTTATAATAAAAAATAAAGAAATCTATTGTGCGTATTGCTGAAATTACTTTTCCGTGTGATAAACACAGATTAATAGAGCATGCTTGATAGAACTTGTCGAGTCAAAATGGTGGTAGTTTTGAGTGGTCAACAGAACGCTCGGTGGTATTTTCCAACTGTCACTATAAAAAATTGTGTTTTATCAAAAGCGTGACCTTCGTATCACGATTTTGATACGTCCAACATGATAATAAATTACATTATTTGTTTTACATGTAATACTGTTGGTTATATATTGCTGGTTAACGGAATGATAAATCTAACCTCATAATCAGGGTATTTTATATTTTAAAAGCATTTGAAAAGAATGCGTGAATAATTATTATTTATACGCATTATAGAGTCTTTGAGTATCCATTAAATATTATAACATTTCTATTTGCTGAAAATATTGATTTGAAAAAGAAAAGTTTAATGCTAGACAAAACATAGATTCTGACGACTAAGGATATAGAAACTGCGTAGGTTTACTAAAAAAATATAAAAACCACCAAAATGATTTCTCAAATGCCACATGTTATGACTCTTGCAAACAGCATCATTGGAGTAAGCGTTCTTGCAATGCCATTTTGTTTCAAGCAATGCGGTATTGTTTTAGCTATTGTAGTCTTGATATTGAGTAGTACTTTGTCTAGACTTGCTTGTCATTTTCTTATTAAATCAGCTGTGATGTCTAGAAGACGAAATTTTGAACTTTTGGCTTTCCATGCGTTTGGCCATATGGGCAAATTTTTAGTGGAATTATTTATCATTGGTTTTCTTGTGGGAACATGTATTGCTTTCTTTGTTATTATGGGTGATTTAGGACCACAAATTGTGAGAAAAGTGATAGATAAGAAACCAGAGGATATTAGGACTAGTTTACTTATAACAACAAGCATTTTCATAGTTTTACCCTTGGGATTGCTTAGGAATATTGACAGTTTGTCTACTCTTTGTACTGCTACCATTATCTTTTATCTTTGTCTTGTATTAAAGGTGAATAATTTGCAATTGATATTATTTGTTATAAAAACAATTCAATGTTAATTCATTACATTTTTTATCTTTTTCATAGATAATAACAGAATCTATGCAGCATATTTTTGCTGGAGATTGGTATGAACATGTATATTATTGGAGACCATCTGGTATACTTCAATGCATACCTATCTTTTCTATGGCTTTATTTTGTCAAACCCAACTATTTGAAATCTATGAAACTATACCAAATGTATCTTTAGAGAAAATGAACGAAGTTGTACGAGGTGCATTAAATATATGTACTATTGTATATCTTTGTGTTGGATTCTTTGGTTATATTGCATTTTGCACACAGCCATTTACAGGTATTTGTTCTTTTAAATTAAACATCCTTTCTTCATATATCTTACTTATCCATTATTAAATTTACAGGCAATATATTAATGAGCTTTGAACCCAGTTTGTCATCTGAAATGATTAAAATGGGATTTGTGTTTTCAATTGCATTTAGTTTTCCTCTAGTCATATTTCCATGCCGTGCAAGTCTAAACTCTCTTTTATTTCGCAGGGTTTGTATTAATTATAGCAGTATATTATAATGAGATAATAAATTTAAATATTTCATATATAACTTCTTACAGGTGTATGCTCATGAACCCTCTATAAATTATTTGCCAGAAACAAGATTTAGATGTCTTACTATCATAATTGTAACTGTTTCTCTGATAACTGGCATTCTAATACCAAATATTGAATTTGTTCTTGGTTTAGTAGGATCTACCATTGGTGTAATGATTTGCTTGATATTTCCAGCAATATTCTTCATATCCATTAGTAGCAAACATACTAATGAGAGATTATTAGCTCAAGTGAGATGATTAAGCAAATACAAAAATTATATTATTTTCTAATTATTTCTCTTTAATATTTCCTTGTCGATGCATTTCTAGGTAATCATGTTTGTTGGTATCTGTATTATGATTCTGAGCACATATGCAAATTTGTATGCGTTAGAAGAATCTACTAATATAAAGATATTAACACCAACAAACAATCCTGCTAATCAAATAAATAATATACCATTAAACTTAAATAAGGATAATATTAATGCAATAGCAAATGTTCCTAATAATCCTGAAGTTCTTCCAAATATTAAGGGTACTATATAGTACTATATTATTAGCTTAAAATTGAAATATGTAGTGATATTAGTAACAATAGTAATGGCAGTGATGATAGTAGTAGCAATAATATTGTGATAATAATTACATTCATAATTTTCAGAGGAAATGAGTCAGTTATCAGGCTTAAATGTTCCTGAGAATTCTTTAAATCTGCAAGCAAATGATATGCGACAAGAACCGCCAATACCAGTTGAACGTATTGTTATTACAGAAAAGTCAATAGTAGAAACACAAAAGTCTATTGACAATATATTAGTTACTTTTGCTCCAGTTATTAAAAAAATAGTTGATCAAATAAAAAGGGTAGATACAGATTTTCATAAAGAATCAAACAATTTAATAAAAAATGATATTATAATAACAACAAAAGTTGCCACTGAAGATAAGGAAGAAATTAATCTCATGAAGAAGAAAGAAAGTTTTATAGATAAAAGAAAACACTATAGTCTTATAAATTCTGATGCAATTAAAAAAGAAGATTCAGAACTAGCTGCTTACGCAGAGGCTGCCAACATGTTAGTTGCAGAAAGACATGAAAAACTTAGAAAAACTTTAGAAAAACACAAACAAGAACAACTGCAAATGGTGGAAGAGCAGAAAGAAATATTAAAAGATCTTAAAGAACAAAAACAAGAAATTGAGAGGCAGAAGCAAAAAGATACAGAGGAATATAAAAAGGGCAAAAATGATTTAAAGGTTCTTAGTGGAAAATCTGTCATACAAGCAAAAATGAATTCTACAATTATAAGTAATAGTAACGAAAATGAATCCTCCAAAAACCAAAGGGAAAATATCAATAATAAAACTTTTAAGTCAGCTCTTTCTAACAATGAAAACATGAATAAAAGGCAAAATATTCAATTGGATACATACCAAATGCTATTTGACAACAAGTTAAATAATAAAAAGCTTAAGGAAGTAGGAGTGAGTCCTAATAATTCAAAAAAATTACTTAAAGGACCTATCTTGAATGCTTTGACAAAACGAGTATTACAAAGATCTATTTCCACTGATGACTTAAGACTAAACAATAGTGAAACTGACTATAATAAAAATAATTTTAGCAATATAATTTCTAATTTACAAGGAAAGTCAAATGTAAAGTTAGAAAATTTACAGTATCAATATTCCTTACCAATCGCATTAAAAATGCGAAATCAAACAAATGTAGAGAATTCGTTAGAAGAACATAAGTCCGAGGGAACCGTTCAACTAATTCGTAGAGATATTTTAGAGAATCATGAACGTGAAAAGCGAGAAATTAATATAAGAATAGAAGAAACCAATACCAAAGTCACAAGTGATATCTCAAATGAATCTGAATATCTAATAAAAAATTTCACCACTAAGGATAATCGCGAAGAATGTTTTAAAGGAAATGAAAAAGTTGAGGGAAATTTAATAAATGAATTAAAGAACAAAACAAACCAGAACTCTTCCGAAAATGATACAGCTAAAACATCATTGATTAAAACTAATATATATTTGTCAGAACAAGGATTTGGAAACGCAGTTTCAATCGATTCGAACATTCCCATAAGAGGAGAATATGTTAAATTGAAACAGAGGGATTTAAAATTCGTGAATATCGGTGAAGATTATAATATCTAAATTTTTGGAGACCTGATTAGATATAATTCGATTAGATATAAAATATGCAGCAGAATTTAATTTTTTTAATGCTAATTAGCAGTTAGTACAATCTTACTTTGTTATTGTTCCATTTTGTTCTATTCATAAAGTACATATCCAAAACAGATGAAACGGATAATTTCAATATTGCTAAATGTTATTTATATGATATAGCCACATTGCATATTATTGTACATATCATTATTCTCCTATGTAATCAGTGAATAATTGAAATTATAAATATATTTTTACATTGAATCACATGATATTTTCCACTTATATTAACATTAATTACTTCCATTGCTAGAAATATTGTAAATATTGAAGTTTTTTGTTGTATGTAATTTTGATATTTATAATTTTTATCATAACTTGTTGATTTGTATATCAAGCTATCGTTTCGGTGAGTTGATAATAATCTATTATCAGAGCTATTATTAAAAATGGGTAAGGAGATCGTCAATGCTTATATGGGCGAAATTTTACTAAAAAATGGACACTAAGAGTAAGGGACTCTTGTGCCGAACGGCTACACTATCAGCACTCATCGTCTTCGGTGCTCTTGGCGGGAGAAATGCGCCGGTATACGGCGTGGGGGGGAATTGTGCGATCGTGCGACATTGCCTCATGTGGCATATGGACGTATCTAGCACTCGTCTGAATCGTACCGTACTGTTGCGTACCGAGAAATGGAACTCTACAGTGTAAAAAGACGCAAGTGCTATTGCTAAATTTGTATTTACTTACATTATATGTACTTACATATTTCGTTTATCGACCTATTTTCGATAGAGTTTGATTTTGAATATTTGTCAGCACACTATATTTTTGCGCAAGTTTATTTTTATTTACTTATGTATATTTTGTTGTTTTCGAAGATTATTCGGGATTGATTTGTGATACATTGCAATAAAACTTTGATACTACGCTAGTACTTGCATAGCCTCATAATGATTTGTGAGTAAATGTTTCTTTATTTGTATTAAGAAATATTTATTATGTATGTGCTAGTATATTTAGTAAATTAGTCTCGAATGAAATTATTTGAAGAATACAGAACATAATAGCATTTACTTCGTCTTTTAGCTTTGGCTAAAATAACGGATTGGACACCAGAGTATTTTATCGCAAATAAATCCAATTGTAATGCGATCTTGGAAAATCTAGATGCTTTAAAAGAAATTCCCTTACTAAATAATGCCCCTGTTCATGCATTCAGGGATGGTCAATTGGTCAGATTTAAAGGAATGATTCAAGATATGCACAATCCTGAATATTACTTACAAGTGTATGAAGTCAAAAATACTCAAACTGAAACATACCAGATAAAATGTGGGATGTATACAGATTCTGCAAAATGTTTGGTGATTATTTGATTAAAGTTTCATTTCATAAGGCCTTTCTACACATTTTGTTTTGTCCATATTCAAATTATATGTGTATTTAAGATTGATATGGGGCCGATAGTAAATATGGCAGTTTCAGGTGTGGGATGTGAAAAGAACAGCTTATCTCATGTATAAAACTGCCTACATCATTTTATTTTTAACACGAATATTTCAAAATGAATAGATATTTAACACTTTGTTTACTTAAAACATTATGATTTGTTTATGTTTCTTAGCCACACGAAATGATTTTGTTGGAATCGGAAAAGAATCAAAATTCAGAAAGACATACATGTATTGTGATATCAACTCCTGGTTTAAATGATTGGGCAAAGGAAACATATGAACAGTCACATTATTCAAGTATAAGATCCACTAATAATCATAAAAGGAGTTTAGACAAGGATAATAGTGAGACTACAAACTATTTGGAATTAATACAAAAAAAAGGAAGAATGTCACCAATCGATAATAATGAAAAAATGGAAACAATGAAGAGTAATACAAGGCAACAAAGTGCATTTTCAAAGGAATATATATTAAATTTTCCATTTCCTATGGATGATGGTAAAGCTTGCATTGTAAAGGTTATTAATGAATTTTGAACATTTATTTTTTTATATAATATTAATGATTTTTAAATAGTATATAAATGTTTAAAATTGTTTAACATATCTTTTAATATATAAATTACAGATATACGAAGATATGACTTTAAAACTGAATCAAGTTATTGAAATAATAGGTTTTATATCTCTGGATCCTCTTTTAAATATTGCTCACGATTCAGATGAAACTATGACAGAAGCTGAGATAACTGTGCACCATCCACCAGTATCTCTTGTTCCACGATTACACGCTATAAAAATAATCCATTCAACTAAACAAGATATGACGATTGCTCCTCAAGTGATATCTAATGCAGAATTAATAAGAAGCGATCTTCACTTAATACTAAGTCAACTTTTATTTGGGGATCATCTGGCTGCAGATTACTTAATTTGTCATTTACTTTCATCAGTGTAAACTTATTTAATGTTTTTATTTCTTTATGAAGGAAAGAATTACTCATAACTCATTTTTTAAAGCATTATTTCATTTTAGTTACATGAAAAGGGATTACTTCTGTCTTGGTACTTATCCGCTAAATATAACACACTTTTCTGTGACTAAATGCAAGGAATTTCCAAAGTATTTATATAAATTTTTAACTCTATTCATCAAGAAAAGTTACTTGTTAGAAATCACATTAGAAAATTTAAACAATTTAACATTGTTGCCAAAGTAAGTAAATACTTTATCAAATGTAAACCCTTTTCCTGACAGAGTTTTACACTATATAATTTAAGATACTTGCGCTGTTATCAGGAAAGATTACGAGTGTAATAGGCTAACCAGCGGAGTACTCCAACTTAGCGACAATACACATCTCGTAATAGACGAAACAGGACTAACTACTGGTCAAATTACACAGGCCGGACGAGAAAATTACAATGCGATTTGCGACTTGATTAACTTTCAGAAAGTTACATATGATTTTGAATTTTATAAAATAGAATACGAAACGGATATTCCAGTCTTAATTTTATCAGAAGCTAAATCTTTTATCCCTGTATGAAAGAATTTTTACTAAAAGCATTTCATATTCATTCATATTTTTATGAACAATAAGTAATATACGTTCATTCTAGTGTCAAACCCAAGTCCTACTAAAAGTAGATTCAGAATCAGAAAGCGTTTATCCTCAAATAATAAAAATCGCTGAACAGTATTTGAAAGATGAAAATAGATTGATAAATATTCGACAGTATTTAGAAACTATTCGAGATACGAAATTTGAATTTAACGATGAAGATGTTATAAAGGTATTTATAAGATATTATTTCAAATCATATAATTTATTCCAGCAATTTTTCATATTTTGTTTTATAATATATTTCATATATGTACATGTGTACAATAAATATATATCATAATATAACATATATGATTATTTTTTCTTGTAGGAAATTCAGAATGATTTCATACAATGGAACCAGAAAAACAAAAACGCTGATCATTTACACTTATTAATGGTGTTGGCTAGATTATTATCTTTATCATATGGATCGAATACTTTAACTATAGAATATTGGAAAAAGGCATTCCAAATGGAAATAGAAAGATTAAATAGATTACCGGTGAAAAAAGAAACTTAACTGTTAATTAAAAGTAAAGGTAAACGTATTCGTTTATTATATTTTTACATACGGAAATTTATTGTTCTTTTGTACATCTTAATAAATAATTTTTTCAATATCAAATTTTTTAATACTCGAACCTAATAATTTATCAAAGTATGGCACACATGTAATAGATTGAAAGATTTGCATTGCGTGTACACCTGTGTGTGTCCTACAAGTAACATTCGAACATCTACTGTACATAATAATTTACACGTTTGCTAAATTCCATTTCAAATGTGAGATAATGTTTCTTTATGCTTTGTAAATGGAAATAGCATTATTTTTTACTTTCTCCATAACTTATTCTTAAAAAATATTTCTAGTTAAAAAATATTTTCAAGAATTCCTTGATTCAAATGTTGATTAATTTATATTTAAAAAATACAAGTAAAATATCTCGATCTACTTTTGATCGAAATATTAAGGAAATTAGAATTAAAAAAGATTGTAGATGCACTTATGTTTCCTTCTTCTTATAATAAAGAAAAGAAAAATGCAAGAAAGGAACGAAAGTCGAGATAAAAATTATTAATAATTTTATTTGGATTTTCGTCCGTTACCTGCGTCTTAAAAATGAAAATAGATTAAAAAGATAAATTATATTTCATGAAATAGCTCTAATCAGATGGAAGTTATATAGTTAAGTTAAAGAAGATTGTTAATTTATATGTATATTAAATGTTGTGTTATTAAAAATTTGATGAATTCCAAAAATCAGGCTCCGGCGAGATCTATTTCATTGAAACGGGACACATTTAATGCTTTCTGTACCGTATTAGTGTCTCTTAATTTACCGAGTCTATGTTCGCGTTCTTTTCGAACTAATTCCAATCCCTTCTTCGCAGCCTGTGCATATCTTTTCGAAAGTGCAACTTCTCCCTTAAAGCCTGGAATATGACCGGTATAGCCTACAATCGGTGGTCTTTCAGGAGAAACTTCATAATCTGTAAGAATAACGTTCTTATCTTTCATTTCAAGGTGATTAAGATGTTTCATCTAATGTTTACGACTGATCTCATACTTTATGAAATCCTTTACAAGGAGGTTTACAATGAAGTTGAAAAGAAAATTTACAATGAAGTTCATATGGAAGTACATGTTACGTACGAAACGTGGTTAATCGATTTTTATCGTGATTAAAATCGTTATCATGATCGACTGGTATATCTATATCATCGGCTCGCGGTCGGAATAAAAAGTGTCTAGAGATAGTGCTTTTTTCGACCTTAGGTTGCATAAGATCTCTATGAGCTTTTAATTTAATTTGATTTTCGCGCCATTCTCTGGCACCTTCTTCCACGGCTCTCATAAACGATAAACCATAACTACTATTAAACCCAGGAATGTATCCTACAAGTAAACGATTAAGTATATTAATTTACTTTTATAAAACGATATAATATGATAAAATAGTATCTCAATCTATAATACAGTTACCGGTCTATAATATACTTACCAGTATATCCCAAAATGTACGGTGGTGCTTTGAAGAAATGCGTTTCTCTTTTCCAATCTGTGCTGGTATCTTTCTCGTAAATAATCGTCGTGTTTTCATTTGTGTTCTTCTCGGAGATGGGTCTGTAAGGTCCTGTCTTGAGAATTTTCTTTTGAAGTAATTCCTGCATGATGCAATACGCTCGTGGAAACTTTAATTAACTTTATAAAGATTTTGTTTTGTTGCTTTTCTCTTTTTCTCTCAATGCAGAATCAAATGCTTATGTATTACTTGTATGCTCTTACCTTCATAATTTCTTGAGTGCACGCACCGAATCGTTTTCCAACTCGAAATTTAAGGGTGGGACAGTGTCCGGTATAGCTGAAAGTATGATTGAACAAAGTATAATGTATTCATAATAAAATTATCAGGCGCAGAAGGTATATATAAATAAATGAATATATAGAAATTTTATTCCACGTAACAACGAACTTGTTGCGGTTGATCATTAGGCACGCAATGCGCATATGTGCCATCAAAATCATTAAATTTAAGTTGACCCGAGCCAAGCCTATCCGTAATTTGTCCTCGCGGTGATCGGCGAAACGTGACAACAATCGTATCAGAAACATTGTATGTACAATACATGTATGTTACATGTACTTAGTTACAATTGTTGTATTTCTCTTCTTTGAACGTCACATTTCAAATCATCGATCAAACGAGCTATCTTTTCCTCATCGATAGATTGATTGTTTATCGTTTCACGTAAAAATTCTATATATATAAATGCAAGTATGTGATGTAAATCGGCTCGAATAGGTTGATCAATGGATCGATCCGCGTAAAAGTAAATAAATTATTTGGTAGTAGGATAAGCAGTGCTTAAGCGAAGTGTTTTATTTGATACATGTGCATTAAGATCGGTAATTGCTTATCGCATACAAGTCCACTTATTGGATACTTGATTACTTCTGTAATAGTATTTCCTTTAGTAAAGTACCTGTCATTGATATTCTAGCTTACTATTATAATTGGTATGCAACGATCGAAGCATGGCACTAATATCGAAACATTTTTCACAATAGACAATTTTCAGATATTGTTCTTGTTATCATGTATCATATTTTGGTTACAATTGTCAATAGAACGATAGACGGGTAGAGATATTTCGCGAGAAAGGGATGAGGTGATATGCACGTTGTGGTTTAATTACCTACCGTGGACGATTATCCTGGAAAACCAAAGTTACGTTCAATTTCTTTCCTGAAGCTTGTTCTTCCTTTTATCTAATGCATCGAAGCAGCGATATAAATAGTTCTTTTATTCTAAAGCACAACGTTAAAGTTCCCCTTTTGTAAAACCATTGCAACCGGGTTCAAGCTTAACAGCGCGTTTGTTTGTATGTATCTTGAAAAGCCGTGCTGTAACGTGCGTGTTGCGCAACCAAAAATAAACGGTGCTACCAGGAAATATTTAGCGTAAATGGTAAACGTTGCAAATTCAATTAATGCTGTTCGATGGTGATGCAGGTGTTTGCCGCAGGTGGAAATTCGATACCATCTTGAAACGGGGGACCAAAGAGAAAAAGATGATTCTTAAATTACGCGATACGTCATCGGATATAACATCGGTATTATTCTCACAGGTATGCATATGACTCGTCGGATCTTACCCAGGCAAGTGAGCGGCATAACTCTCTCTAAAAAATTGTTTTCTCTGTTCTTCGGATACTGAATCGAAGACCATTTTCCGACCAAGCTTTTTAAACGTAATGTGTTCAAATTATCGTGTTAGATCAACGCCTCCGTCACTTCCATTGCTTTCATCCCTTTCTTTCGGCATTCACACTTTTCGATCGAAGCTTTTTATAACGTAGAATTTTTTTGCAGTTCATTTGTAATAAAATCTAAACGCGAACGAAAATGCAATCAGTAATACGAAAGTCGCGCTACTCATACAGAAGAAACGTATACGCATGTATACGTATATATATATTAAAAGCTGTATACTGCATATCGCAGAGTGTGCTATGCACGTTATAAGTGAGTAAAAGTCCTTTCTTATATGATAATTCTTGGTTACTTGAATATAGTTAGTGTTTCTAATTTATTAATATAATTTTGTTTCTGAACATTATACACCAAGCAACGATATATGTTACAAATGTATCGTTTAGTTATCGTTATTTAGTTACTGCGTTAGTTACTTCTTTACTCTGTTATGATTTCAAGGAAGGAAGAAAGAAAAGAAAGGATTGGAAGGATTTTCAAAGCTATGTTTTCATCGAATAGATCCTCGACAGCTTTGTCTTTAGTATAATTCAAAAAATTGTTTTATAAACCACGATAATCAAGGTTCACGAAATAAATTTGAATCTTTGTTGAAACGAATGAAAACTGCCCAACGATAAGATTTTACAATATATATATTAGCAAAGAAACACACTGTGAAACCTCTATTTTACAATCGTAAACGAAAAGCGTTTCGCGTGTTACCGTTTTCCTTTCGCGTTTCATCGATAACTGGATACGATTTAGTACCAGGCAATGGTTTCCTAGGAGTAACACAACTCCGTTACCTTCAAGAAGATCGATACGCGCAGGAGGTGGGGAAAAGTAAAAGAAAGACCATTTGACTCTGCCATGATCGATCGGTTAAAAATTGTCGAGAAAGTAAAAGATCTCGCAATCGTCGCGCAGCAAATTATCAGCAATTTTAATATGAAAATGATTTAGCAATAGATCGAAGACTGTATCGGGAACGAGCCATTATTTAGCTTACAAAAATTATAGACTGCGTGACAGGCTACGACATCAAATCATTTAAATGATTTATTTTTTGTCACATAATTTGTACAAACATCGATAGAAAATGTCGATAGAATTCCCGTCCAATACAATTATTTAGCAATTTACAAACTGTGCAATCTTACTAAATTGAAAAGAAACAAGAATACAAGTACACGATTTATTAAAAGTAGCTCTTTTTAAATTTTGTGTATTAAGAATTATATGTACATATGTTGTAACAGTATAACTCTCACGCAAAATATACGAGCTATGTACACATACACGCACGCACATACACATATGTATATATACACACATGAATATATTTATTCATGTGAATTAAATAATACTCTGTGATTTTAGTTCGTTGTCGTATATCTTACTGCTATCGTACACTCGTTAGCTCTACGCGCTTACTTCGCTCGTATACTTAGAGTGGAACTTTGTTACTTAAAATTACATACGTTGGAAATACATATGTACAGATCGATCTCATAGAAATCAATCAGGTTTAATAATCAAAGTTTCGTCACCAATCTTTTAGTTGTTTTCAACGCATTTCCTTCAACTCTTTACACATAAAGACGGAATAGATAGATATTGGTCGAGTGTTTATGAATTAATCTTCGGTCAAAATTTCAAGGAGAAGTCGTTTTAAGCTGTCGAGACCAGTTAGAAAACCACAGTCCGGGCCTTGGTACACCATAGGAGTAGGAGACGAGTTACAGGCCACGGTAGAACCATGAACAAAAGTCGTGTGTGCAAAGTCGATCATTCTTACATCGACCCGTGCTTCCTGAGACTTCTGTTTCATCTTCTTCGATCGATAAGGATACGAGGTATATCTATGAAGTAAATTTAAATATCATTTGTTTCCGTTTAATAATTGTAAACGCTGTCGATTTGGCAGCTTGATAAATTCATACATATCGAATATTTAATCATTCTTAATACCTGTTTGACATATTGGCACATTCAAGTTCCCCTTCTATTCTCTCGTCCCTCTTGTAAATGTGAAATAATCGATGTCCGCGTCTTTGCCACTGTGATCCAGAATCCGATGTAATTTCTGTATCGGAACTAGTATCTTGCGTCTCATTGTCCGAGCTTTGTCCAAAATAAAATTCATCGTTTCTGGTGCCGTAAAGCATCCACTGTTCGTATCTCGGAGAATGAAGCACCCTGTCGATCAAGCTGTCCGCAGATTCGACGAAAACTGTCTCCTCGCTGCTGGGATTGTCAGTGGATCATCGCATAGAACGTATTAACTTAATTATTGCTTGATTCATTTGCCTCTCTTCAAATATTGTCTAATATTGAAATTATTAAAATATATAATATGGGCCGCGCAAAAAATTCGCAATTTCTCAATATTGAACACGCGATCTTCATGCATGTAAATACACTATACACGTAATATTTATTTTTCATCGAAAATTTTTACCCTACAATTATTATTAAGTTTATAGTAAGTGCAATAAAACCGAATGATCGGTTAACCTTCCTTGATCAATGGAATTAATACAACAAACGTCGCATATCATGTCCTATTATTTTTTCCATTTTTTGTACAATTATTACTCAATTTTCATCAAGTAAAATCATAAAAATAGACGTAATAAATGCGTAATATACATCGGCTATTTAATCATGTCGAAAGAAACTAAAAGTAATTAAAACACAATTTAACTAAACAGGATAGCACGAAATCTTGTTCTTCACATTGACTTTCGAAATACTTTGAATAATAATAATAATAATAGAAATAAAAGAAATCTTAATTATATGAATAATCTAAAATTTCATTCTGTTTTAGGAACTTTACTTAATGATTAGACAATTTGTAGATTCAATTCTATTTATCGAGGAAATACAACGAAGTTTTGACACAGCCCCATCATTAGATCTCACATGGTACAATGTATATGACCTCTTACCATCTATTAATAACCCTTTTACTGCCCCAACCGTAGCGGGCATGCAGGCCCTGTGGGTCATATATTGTCGAGTAAAAGAGAATGTTTATATCTTAATATACAGGATGCAAAGTAAATGGTAATACCTTTCAGGAAATTTCTTTTTTATTTTATGGTAAAATCAGAAATTTTTCGTTTATTTTACTGTGCGTTCTATGTGTGAATACCTTGGGATGCTACTACATCTTATAAGAGAATTTACGACTTCCAAATCTAATATCTCAATTTTATGTCATTTAATTTGCATTTTTTTTATAAAAGCATCCAAGTATATTATTTTTACAATTTGTTAATTGTTAAATAAATAAAGTTAATTTCGTAAGAAAATAATGATAATATAGTTTTGCAAATTTCATTATTTAACGTTTCTATAATGTATCTATAACTGGCAATTCGTCTCCTTCAGTTTATACCATAAAATAAAAGGGACAATGTGCGTGTGTACGTACTATATATATATATATATATAGTAGCTCTTTTTTACACATATACATACATATTTTAAACTTGAAAAGATAAATTAAACGAGCAATTTGTATAAATTTATTTTTCATGTAACAAAATTCACCACTTACTGAACGTCTTGTATATTTGATTTCGTTTACTACAAAATGTGAAGCTAAATCAACTTAAATTATGGAAATATACTCATGAACTGTTGAAAAGTGAACACACACGCACGTATATGTGCTACGTATACATATATGCGGGCTGAGAATGTAACGGTAAAATAAGTTACAACACTATCGAAAAATAAAAATAAAAGATCGATCAAATAAAACTAAATAAGAAGATTCTTGATGTTATCAATTCTGAACAACGACTAATCATATATCATCGGTTCATCGATCAACGAAATTGACTACGATAATATGTATTTAAACTATTCTCGGCTATGTCTAGCCATCTAATGTGTCTGAAAATTACACACATAGTTTTCTTACGACACTTTATCATATTCCTCGATAATTATATGAAAAATGTAACATATAAAATACAGAAGACAAGCGAACATGTACATTGTAGATGCAAGTTATTAAAGATATCAAAACGCGATGCATCATAATCAGTCCTAAAATGCATCTGAGAGTTTGTTTAAAAGTGAATTGGATTTAAAACGCAGAGAATGATTCAGTTCAGGTTATGAAGTCTATTTCATTAATACGCTACACATCTTATGAAATATTCTTTGTATACTTGATATACGTATACGTATACACATACATATATATATGCAATACAATGTAAATATCCCTTTAACTCCTTTGATTTTAATGTTTAAATATTTGCTCCTAATAACTTTTGTAGAGCTTTTACTCTACTCTTGAGCAACAATATACCTACGAAAGGATTTTGAAATCCACCATTTTCAGCTCTGATCCTCCCCTAGTAAGAAACTGATCGGGCTCGATTAGGAACTGGTATTGCCGCGCTTTATTATAGTTCGGCCGTAATAAAGAGCAGTTTTCTAAAAAGTGATGGTACACAGAAATATACATGCTTAAATAACGAAAATATCACACTGTCAGTTTGTTAGTGTAACAATACCATAAAAGGTAGTTTATGATTTCTACTCTTCACTGATAAGTTCCTCCAATTTTTCCAAGATACATAGAATTTGGATCAATTCTAAGGTATCTAAGCATTCAATTTATTAATTTCAGCAACTCGAATACAAATTGGTCTTACGCCAGCTTCAATGATTAATAGAAATACATTAAAAAACAGAGCATTAATCAGTTGTATGTAAATACATACTAGTAGTAAGAAATGAATGAGAATTCACCAAAAAGTTTCTTTTATATTATTAAGATACTTTATAGATACTGTTACGTATATGCATGTAATGATCTAATTGTTCACGCAGAAACTACTTTTAACGTTATACTACATACGATAGTCTTAATCGTTGAAAACATCAAATATTAATACACTAAGGCGCTGAACGTGCGATATTTTCTCTAAACCGATTTTTAACAACATGTAATTGAAATAAACAATTCGAATACATTAGAATCGTCATAATAACTAACCCTCCAATTTTCTGATGGAGTATGTTATACCTTCAATTTTAGAACATATTTACAGAATTACTAACATCCTGTTATATGCAGGTTACTTTAAATTTAATGAAATACAATTGATCTCCTTTGATTACTTCGAGAATGGTATAAGTTTTAATGCACTATTTATTTAAAGGAGGAAAAGTAGCGCAAAAAAGGGAAAGAGAGAAGGAAAGAAAAGAAGAAAAAAGAAGAAAAGGAAAGTAATATACAAGTATGACGTGATTCAGACGAAATATCAAAAGATGTATCGAATGAAATACGCGCGTAATCCGATATCTTATAATTACATACTTCACCAGATAACGCGCATGTTTCGACTTCTACTTAATACATACATATATCGGAGGGTTAAACGTATTAAATCAGAATGTTTATGTTTCTATGTTCAATTATTATCTAATTATAATATTCGAAACAAAAAAAGAAAGAAAGTATCTATTATATTCCTAGTGTTGTAATACACCAAAACAATACATAAAAACAGCAAATATGCTAATAAATCAATAAATGAATGAATAAATTACTCAATAAATAAATAAATAAAAGCGTATAAAGAAATATTGCACCTGAAAATTACTCTGCCACCAAATCTTAACAGCATCACAACGTTAGGAATTTAATTTAGTTCGTTCCATATTGAATCGCCTTTTATTGCAAATAGATTTCAAGAAAATCGTAATCAAAGCGTGTGTCATACGTATCGAAGTACACTCACGTTAATTTCAAGTCTATGTATTGTCTGAAAAAGTTTTATTGTACGCATTAAGAAATAATAATTTACGAATATTAATATTTATAGCAAATCAAGATGGAACGAGCAATAATTTTTTATTCATAAATATCAACGACAATGTATACACGCTAATGAGCAAAAAAGAGTCGATCACAAACCTTGTAGGGTAAAAACTGGCGATACGTTTGGTCTCTTTAACTGTCGCTTCAGCAAATCCCCTGCGCAAAGTACTCGTTTGGCTGATTTCCTTTTCCATAGTAACATTACAATCTGGGGAACTGTTATTTATATCCCCGTCGTAACAACCATCAGACGTATGAGGATCATCGTTAACGAAGGTAGAACTGATTGAGTCTTCATTCATCTG